CTTTATTAGAAGAATGTGAGCCTTCAGTCATCCATACAGTTCTTAACGCAAGGGCAGCTTCTAGAAGGAAGCTTTATGCTTACTGATAGAAGTCATTTTGTTCATGGTGTGCGACTCCGAATCTATAATCCTGTGCAATGCAAAGTTCCAGTAGTTTTAACCCTTTTACAAGGGCTGTTAGAGAGTGGCCAGGCTTCTTCCACACTAAAGGTCTACATGGCAGCCATCTCGGCTCATCATGCATCTGTAAATGGTTCCTCTTTAGGATCTGATGACAGTGATGACGGCAATTGGGATATGGGAATGATTAGGAGGCCATAATGGACAGAGGCCAGTGGGCAGATTTGGCCAGGATGCCGGGGTTAAACCCCTTCTCTTTTTCGAAGGACATCCTGGGATTTTTAACAACCACAGAGAGTCAGGACCTTGGTCATCTGAAAGCCGGTGCTCATTGAGCAGTATAGCGTCCCCGTCACTATACTGGGGCATTAGGACCCACACAGACCGCAGGTTGAGCGCCCCTTGCTGGCCTCACTAACACCACTTCCGGCAGCAACCAAGCTTTCCAATGTGGTCTCCCATCCAAGTACTGACCAGGCGCAGCCCTGCTTCGCTTCAGTGGGCGACCATGTGAGAGTTGCAGAGAGCTAGCTGCCGTCTATTAAGAGCATATATATATATAGCTTATAGCAAACCGTCCCCGAACAATAACTAACTGAGAGAAAAGAAAAATTAAACTTGCTTAATCTTAATTTATACACAGACACAACCTATTGGCTAGAAACGGTAATACACATCTCCATAATCTATCAAAACTTTGACATATATGAAAATACAACATAAATGTGCCTGCATTTAAACTTATATAAATATACATACTTACATTTGTTCTTTAAATACTCTGAAGCATAATAACATCTATCTTTAAAAATATACATATACAAACAATAGTGACACATACTGGTAAGTCCTACAAATATAAAGGATTAAAATATTACAAAACATATTATTTTCTAGTCTGCATAAATTTAAAAACCACTGCCTTTATGCCTTCTTCATCCCGGGAGGCTTTTCCAATTCATTCATTACAATTTGCTTTTGTATAATGTAATCATTATTAGCAGTATTATCTTTTATACCCATATTTATATTTGTTTTTATTAAAAACAAGCTTAGATTTGTCCATCTGTCAGGTTTCAGACCATATGTGGCACAGCATGTGTATTTGGATATAACTCAGGTTTTTGACCACACTTCGTTATTATTGTTTATTTATTGGTTTACTGGAAATTAAAACTGAATTAAGAAATAGTTTTGAAGCAAATCTTTGCACTTGACAAACGAAATTAATTATTTATAGGCTAATTGATTTCTGTGCGTACAAGATTTCCCTATTCACAAGAGCGAAAGTGAAAGTAGATTATGAGATGCCTTATCTCTCATTCTCACGCTGCAGATGCTCTGTTTAACTGTTTTCTCTCTAGTGAAATGCTCAGTTTTTCCACTTACAAAGTCATCATGTAAATAACAAATGCACTTATGGCGTGACACAAGTGGCTCTTAAAGGGAATGGGAGACGAGACTCTGAAGGGTTTATTCTCAAAACACACCTATAACTCATTAAGAAAATAAGCTCAATCCTTTTAGATCATGCGCCACGGCGCAAAGCGGATTTTTCTGTCCTTATATTAGCAAAAGTAGATTCTGACACGCCTGCTGCCGCCCCTGCGCTTTGCACTTTGCATGGAACGTCAAAATAAGGCCCTCATTGTTCTTTGTTAATTTTCTATACAGACACCCCTTCTGATTCTCATATAAATCTGTTAATACATTTCTTTTCCACCATTAGACATGACAAATATACTTTACTATCTCCTCACATGAGCGAAAATCAGGTCAGTCCCTTGAAATACAAGAAAACTGCTACCTTTAGCTTTCTGTTTAGATTTTTCCACTCATCACTGAAATTACAGGAATGGTTTATTTTGCTTTAAAGCCCAATATGTGTCAAGGTAATCCACTTATTTTAAGTTGATTTTATGGCGGATAATAATTAGTCTTTTAGCAAGATACTGATGCTATGCTTGAAAATTTCTCTATGGTGGATTATTTTTTAGAGAAGGATGAGTAAGAGTTTTCTTTTGAACTTGATTTTTTGCTATATACATGTATGTAGGTAACGTGATTGTCTGTGTATATACAGCCAGTGTAATGCGAACACATAAAACATACATTTGTAATTTAGAGTAAAAAAAACTATAATGTTTAAGTAGCTTTTTATCAAAATACTCAGTATTAGGTCTCAACCCTATACTATCATAAATTGTCATAATGAATCAGAAATTGGTTGGGATTTTAAAATTATATTTTATATATTTATATATATATTATATTATGTTTATTAACATTGGCTACTGATATTTGATTTTACAAATACAGCCGTTGTACCATGCTCAATAGTTTCTTGCTTTTTAGAAGTTCAAAATTTAAAAATTAGACATGTTTTACTAAACTTTAATAATTTCCCCATGAATTTATCACTGAAAAAGGGAGAATGTCAGCTTTAATCTTTTGGTATATGGCACATAGCCTGGATAATTATGACTTAGATGTATATACAAAAGCATTTCTTTAAATTTGAATGTTAATGATTTAATAACTGGCTTAGATTTTCATTACTGGATTAATAATTCTTCAAAAATTCTTGTAACACATTTAAATGGTTGTTTGTCGCCACCTTTTGGCGCAAGAATGTAATTCCATAAAAGAAAAAACATCAAATGGCTTTCAAACGGTTACATTAATCATTACCATAAACATCCGCGTTCATATCTGAATTTTCAACAGTTATCTTAGTACTTGTATCTGATTGTTTTTGAATCAGAAGTTAAAAAGAACTGCTTATAAAGATGAAACTTGCAACTCGCGATCATGTAGTAGGCTATAATTAAGGTCGCGTGGGTATTTGAAGCGAGATTTTTAAATAAAATGTTGCTAGTTCAATAGTTCGTGGTTTTAGATGAGCTGAATTTAACATTACATACACAAAAGGGTGTAGAACCGCCCCTGATTTAGGCCTTCAACTTTAACTTAATAATAGCCTATGTTTTGTGTTTTGTGCAGTTACTTGTTGTCGATTCCTCCTGCATATGATAGTCAAATCCGAGATATGCTGCAGAAATCTGCTCCAGAAGCTGTATAGTCGATGTTTCCTTCATTCCTGCAACTCTAATTTCTCTTCACTACTGAGTTGCCAGACTTCTAAATGGAACTCTTGGTTCCATGACGTCATCAAGACTGAAGCTGACATATGACATTTTAAATATATTGTTTTTCAAATATTTCCCCGTGCTCCCTTCCAAGATAGCAGAATAAATGTTCATTGAAACTATTATTAAAACGTTAAATGCTATCATTGCTTTTTGTTAGCATTTTGCACCCTGAATTAATGTTATTTTAAAGACTATCCTCTGACATTTAGATCAAAATGGTCACAAAATCAGCATAACTTCAAAAACAAAATTCTTAAATTATATTTTATCCTATTTTAAGTATGATTTTATTCTAATTAGTGTTTTCGCTGTCTCCTTTTTATCAGAGATTTGTTAGCTGTTAACTTGTTATAGCTAAATGTTGCTAATTAAGTATATATGTATCTATAAAAATAATGATTGTGTATATATATATATATATATATATATATATATATATATATATATATATATATATATATATATATATATATATATATATATATAAATTTAAGTAAAATAATGTTTTGGCTAAATGATTCAAAATTCAAAAAATATTCATTCTTTGGTTAAAAAATGTAAAGGTTACTTTTGAATCTTCTCTGAACATTTTAAAAAACAAAGCATACAAAATCATCAAAAATTAAAACCTGCAATTGCAATATTAAAAACTATTGGATTGATATGTTTTGAATCATCAAAGAAGACCTTTTTTAGGGTTTGTAAATATTTTTACTACTAAAACTCCATGAATTTTCCAAGACTTTAAAGTACATTTTCATGATATAAGGTTTCATGTAATGCCAAAGTGTGCGGTAAATAATGAGAAATTCAATGCGTGTTCACATTTATTACTGCATATTGTAAAACATGCAACAATCTATTTAATTTACATTATTTTATATCTATGAAAATTTAGATAATGCCCAATAATGTGAGAGTACAGTATGTGACTGACCAAGGACAGAAAGAAAAGCAACCCACAGTTGAAGGGATAAGATTTCTTCAACACATTTCTGAACATAATAGTTTTAATTACCCATTTCTAATGACTGATTTGTTTTATCTTTGCTATTTTGACAGTAAATAATATTTGACAAGATATTTTTCAAGACACTTCTATACAGCTTAAAGTAACATTTAAAGGCTTAACGATGTTAGTTAGGTTAACTAGGTAGGTTAGGGTAATTAGGCAAGTCATTGTATAATGATGGTTTGTTCTGTAGACTATCGAAAAATATAGCTTAAAGGAGCTAATAGTTTTGACCTTAAAATGTTTTTAAAAAATTAAAAAACTGCTTTTATCTTAGCCGAAATCAAAACAAATAAGACTTTCTCCAGAACAAAAAAATATTATCAGAAAAACTGTGTAAACTTTCTTGCTCTGTTAAACATCATTTAAGAAATATCTAAAAAAAAAAAAAAAAAAAATCAAAGGGGGGCTAATAATTCTGACTTCAACTGTATTTTTTTCTAAAGCTACAAAAGAAGCCAAACGCCGTTATGTAAATTTAGTTTCTTTTCAAACTGAATTTAATTTGCATTTGTCAATGTAAACACTGCCATGGCTCTGTACACGTAGAGGACAGAATGCAATTTATGTGTTGTCACATTCAAACAAGACAAAGCAGTCTGTGGGTGTTCAGTGTAGCCTATAGCATTTTCTCAATATGAAGTTCTACATAGCAATATTATTTCAATTGATTTCATTCTTCTATTTGTTTTTGATCTCTTTTGTCTTTTTTTTAGCCACAGGGTAGTTCAAGATCAGCCTGAGTGCCCACAGCCAGGGTCCAGTTCTGCTGGAGAGCAGCTCAACATTTTCCAATCAGTAGATGAAATCTCTCAGCGTATCAAAGAGCATCACAAAACCAGCATAAAGCAGAAGTATGAGAGTTTATGCGAAGGATTCAACAAACAAGAAAACAAAACCCTCCTGAATAAGATTTACACACAGCTTTATATAATAGAGGGAGAGAGAGAAGGGGTGAATGAAGAACATGAGGTTGTGCAAATTGAAAAGGCCAAGACTGAACGCTTACAAGGCACTCCAATTAACTGCAATGACATTTTTCAGCCCGTACATGATCCATGTTATGGAAGAAGTGATGAGAAAGACAAAGTGAGGACTGTTCTCACCAAAGGAATTGCTGGAATTGGAAAAACCGTCTCTGTGCAGAAGTTCATTCTGGATTGGGCTGAGGGAAAAGCAAATCAGGATGTCGATTTTCTCTTTGTTCTTCCATTTCGGGAACTTAACTTAGTTAAAGATGACCAATACAGTCTTCACAAACTTCTGCTTGACTTTCATCCAGAACTTTTGGAGATAAACACTAGGATTTATGATTTATGTAAAGTCTTGTTTGTCTTTGATGGTCTGGATGAAAGTAGAATTACCCTGACATTTTCACACTGTGAGAAGATTTCTGATGTGTCCACAAGCTCATCTGTGAGCATGTTGTTGTCAAATCTCATCAAGGGGGAGTTGCTGCCCTCTGCTCTCATCTGGATCACATCCAGACCCGCAGCAGCCAGCCATATCCCCTCACATTACATCAGCCGTGTGACAGAAGTGCAAGGATTCAGTGACCCTCAAAAGGAGGAATATTTCAGGAAGAGGATCAGCAACCAGGATCAGGCCAGCAGAATCATCTCACACATTAGAGCAGCAAGAAGCCTTCACATAATGTGCCATATACCGGTCTTCTGCTGTATCACAGCCACTGTGCTTCAGAACATCCTGGAACAGGATCTCAGTGCAGAAATCCCTAAAACATTAACAGAGATGTACATACATTTTCTGATCATCCAGACGGATGTGAAGAGGCAGAAGTTTGATCAGAATGTCGAGGGAATTGAGAAAGATCTAAAATTGCTGCTGGAGGCAAGCAGAGATTTGATATTGAAACTTGCTGAACTGGCTTTCAAAGGTCTGATGAATGGTCATGTCCTGTTTTATGATGAGGACCTGAAAGCGTGTGGCATAGATGTCAATGAGGCCTGTGTGCACTCCGGGTTTTGCACTGAGTTCTTTGATGAGGAATCTGTGATCAAGTCAAGGAAGGTCTACTGCTTTGTTCATTTGAGCTTTCAAGAGTTTTTTGCAGCACTTTTTGTGTTTTCCAGCTATCTGAACAAGAGCAGTGATGTCCTGAAGATATTCCAAAAGAAGAAAGGGAGAAGAAAGGTCAAACTGCAGTCTGATGAGGTTTCGCTGGATGTGTTTCTGAATGGTGTGGTGGATGAAGCACTGAAGAGTGATAATGGACATCTGGATCTTTTCCTTAGATTTCTTCATGGCCTCTTGCTGGAGTCAAATCAGAGACTTCTCCAAGGTCTGCTCACACACATGGAGGACGACCCTGAAAGCATGACAAAAGCGATGAAAAACCTCAAACAGAGTCAAAAGCAGAATGTTAGACCAGAAAGGTGGATTAATCTGTCACACTGCCTAATTGAAATGAAGGACACTTCTGTTTCTGAGGATATTCAGGCGTACCTTAAAAATGAAGGAAAAAGAAAAATATATTTGTCTTCCCCCCACTGTTCAGCGCTGGCTAACATGCTTCTGATGGCAGAGGATGTGCTGGAAGAGCTAGACCTCAAGAAATACAACACAACATCCATGCAGGCTCTGAGGAGACTGATACCAGCTGTGAGGAACTGCAGAAAGGCAATGTGAGTTTTAATGAATGATAAGAAAAAAAGAAATTAAAGGGGTCATGAACTGTTTCATTATTTTGTGCTGTTCTCTTAAAGTCCACATATAATATAGATTTAAAAACAACAACATTATTTAGAAGTTACAGGGTATTTCTGTTCTATTTTGACCCTCTCGTGTCAATCGATATGTAATAACAGAAAATAAACGTACTTACTTTACATTAAAAAGTTAGTTACACTTGTGTGGTACAACATTACAGCCGACACCAGTATATTTGAGACAGCATTTAGATTTTACTAAAGATCTAACATGAGACTGTGCCTTCTCCCGTTAAATTAAGTGAATAAAAGATCTAAACAAACGCTGAGGCTTTATGGATCTTTACTAAAAATCCACTCTTTTCTAATATTGGGATCAGAATGAAGGCAATACAGAAGACATTTTTAGTAACAAAATGTTATTCATTAATTTGTCATTTTATTATTTTGTTCACGTTGAATTCATATTTATTCTTTGATTTCTGCACAGACCTTGCCTTTGCCTCTCTCTTTACTTGTCAACTACAGTATGCACAAATTGGTGGGCGGAGCTAAACAAGCAGTGATGTTCGGTAGCCATTTAGTCATTTTTGCCAAACAACCTTGATATAAACAATTTTAAAGCACCCTTAGGTACTAATGTAAGGTTGCTAAGGGTGCTTTCACATCTACACTTTTGTTTCGGAACATATCTCGTTTGCCCAGTTAGCGCGGTTCGTTTGGCATATGTGAACAGGGCAATCGCGCTCTGTTCCGCGCCAAAGTAATCGCTCTGAGATCGCTTGAATGAGGTGGTCTCGGCTCAATTGAAACGAACCCTGGAGCGGTTCGATTACAGTGAGAAAGCGGTCCGATCCGAGCGCAGTTATATCACAGTGTTTTATGGATATTTAATAGGCATACGGCTATATGAAGAGATAATTATCAGCATGGCAGGAAGTTTCGCGAGTCTTCTGATGCCCGCAAACGAGTGATGATCTCCCGGTAATCTCGCGTCTCCCTCCCAGTCCTCAAATAGGCTACGTCGCGCACCCTTCTCACCCCTCCCCACCGCATCTCTCCTCAGACACATCGCGCACGCGCGCACCCTTTCAATAATCATCAAACCACCACCTCTCCTGACAGCTGAGCGGGACGCTGCAAAATAAACCCTGACACTCTGACCAATGTGAGGAGAGTTTACTCGCACATGACTTGTTTTAGCTCTTTTGGTCCAATTAGAAACTTTGCAATGTGACAGCGAACCGCTCCAAGAGCAAAGAGCAACAATGTAACATTTGTAATCTCTGTTTCGGAACAACTGAATCGATTCACAGGTGTGAAAGCACCCTTAGACTAACAGCAAAGTTTTGAGTTCTGAAAGTTACAATATGTTTTTGTAGTATAATGACGTCTTCTATGTTGAAGGATCAAGGAAATTTAGAGTTCTCAGTTCATGACCCCTTTACAACAGAGAGACCTATCGTGTATTTTTTAATCATTGAGAACCAGCCACATGTTGTGACCTGCAATACTTGCAAGTTGTTTTCTGCTATTTCAGATTGGTAGGCTGTAATCTCACTGAACAATCATGTGAAACTGTGGCATCGGCTCTGCAGCCAGCCAACTCCCCAGTGAGAGAGCTGGACATGAGTAACAATGACCTGCAGGACTCGGGTGTAAAACTCATTTCTGTTGGACTCAAGAGTTCACACTGTAAACTGGAGATACTGAGGTCAGTGATGGGTTATCACTCAGAATTTTGTAAAGATTGTTAAATGTGAAGTATTAGAACAAAGTTGCACAAATTCTCAGACAACTCTAAATAGACAGTTTAACAAAATGATTTATTAAAAATTCTGACAAAATGTAATTCGTTACCATCTATGCATGCATATAACAAAACTGAATTATGTTTTTGAAAATGGGGTTGAAATAAATAATTAAACGACTCATTGTTTCAAAACTCATTGTTTGAAACAGTCTCTCGATTGAATATGACTCAGTGACAGACATTTTTAGCCATTACTATATGCTACTGATTAGTAAAATTATTTACCCTTTACAGTCTTTAATTTGAGAGTTAAACAACAATGAACTTCCATTTCTTTATCATTCCCCATTCAAACGTATGCACAAAAATAACTAAAACCTTTATATTCTGCAAGTCAGGCCAGTAGAAAAAAAGACCTTGTTTTTTGTTTTTATCCATGCATTCAGACTAAACATCTATTTCAGAAAGTATTAATATTGTAGTTTGCAGAGATGGAAATCTTATTTATAAAACCTCTAAATTACATATATTATATTGGGACAGAAAAACGATTGACAACAAAGAATGTTTTTATTTTTTTGCATTATTATTTGTGTAAAATATAAAACATTCTATTTTGTTTTAATATTTAACACAGTAATAATTTGTTTTTTTGTTCCTGTATAGATTGAAATGTTGTAAACTCACCATGCAGTGCTGTGAAACGGTGGCTTCAGCTCTGCTGTCAGCAAATTCACGCCTGAGAGAGCTGGACCTCAGTTACAATGAGCTGCAGGATTCAGGAGTAGAGTGGCTCGCTGCTGGACTAAAAAGCCCACACTGTAAACTGGAGATATTGAGGTAAGCTACAAATGATCTTTATACATTAGATACAAAGACAGAATTTATCCTATTATGCATAAACGCAACAAATAATATATTAGTGCCAGTCATACTTAAAAAAAATTTAGATGAGTTTGATGCAAATGTTGAGGAGACTTTATTTTATTACAGTGAGTATAAATAACTAATATTAGCCTACAAAATATAGTGTCATTTGTTCATCAAATGCTTTTCCATATGATTTGAAACTGGTAAATGTTTTTGGGTTATGAAACATGAATAGACTTTTGACCAAAATAAAAATGGACAGTGTAAGCAAATACAAGGATAATTTGAAGATTATCAAATGTTTTATAAAGACAAACAGATTTCCACAAATGCTGTTATTTCGTAGTTTGTCTGGCTGTAAACTCACTAGTCAGTCCTGTGAAGTGCTGGCCTCAGTTTTACAGTCAGAGGGCTCCCGACTCGGACAGCTGGATCTGAATAATAATGACCTGCAGGATTCAGGACTGGAGTTGCTCTCTGCTGGACTGAAAATCTGTAAACTGGAAAAACTAAGGTTCGTGAAGTCATGTCTGCAGTGCAGCTGTGTATGTGTCTTTCTTGACACTTTTAAAGTGCATAATGCAAACTTAGGCCCTGAAACAAAAAGCACTAGTTAAGTAGTTTATAGTTAGTTTTGTTTTTAAAAAGGCGTTTTAGATTGAAAGGCTTCTTTACCAGACTGACAATTGCACTGGTTTCTTGAAAATGGTCTCCATACACACTCTGAAGCTTAAAACACATGATGCATGATGACCATTCATGCTCCATATTCACAGGATGACTATGCCATAACAACAATTATAAAAAATACTTTTGCATTTTAAAATGCAATCTTGGATGCTTTAAAGTAAGGTGTTGATAAAACATATTTATTTTCATATTTTTGGATTTTGTAGTTACATGTCAGGATATTTGATATACTGTACATGTACTGTAAAACATAAAATAAGATATAAGTGTTACTCATTTGTCTTATTTTTAGGTTGGCCACCTGTAATCTCACTAGTCAGTCCTGTAAAACGATGGCCGCTAGTCTTCAGTCAGTAAACTGTGTCCTGAAAGAGCTGGATCTGAGTAACAATGACCTGCAGGATTCAGGAGTAGAGATTCTGTCAGCTGGACTAAAGAGCCCACACTGTAAACTGGAGATACTGAGGTTTGTGCAACAGTTGATCACAACAGTTGAGTGACTGACTTGAGTTGATATGCTGCAATCATGATTCACATACTGTATATGCACAAAATATTATCTCCAAACATATCTTGAGTAGATGTCAATATTCGTGTTAATGTTTTCATGTTTCAGATGTTAAAGAAAGTCAGACAATAAAAGTTAGTTATAGCATGATATGAACATCTAACATCTCATGCCATCACTGAGTGTTTCAACCATGGAAAGACATGTAAACCTGGTTGTAAACAATGTCAAGAATATCTCAGGCAAATAGTTTTGATATTTATATAGACATTTTAATAAATAAACTTTTAATAGAGTATTTCTTGAACTGAAAGTTATAACGTTATTTTGAAACATTATTTTTGTATACAGTATAAAGTCCTAGCCTTTTCAGTTTAGGAAATAAATGCAGCAATAGTGGTTTGGATGTGCTGCATTTTCACTTGGTTTCTAATTGTTGTTTTATTTTTGTTCTGAACAGATTGTCCATTTGTAATCTCTCTGATCGGTCGTGTGCAACAGTGGCTTCAGTTTTACAGTCAGCAAATTGTTTGAGAGAGCTGAACTTGAGCAAAAATGACCTGCAGGATTCAGGAGTGAAGATGCTCTCAGATGGACTGAAGAGTTCATTATGTGTACTGGAGATACTGAGGTGTTACACAAACTTCTGCTTGACTTTATATGGAAGTTTACACTATGTTATTCCTTACTCCATTACTCTATATGGTCTTATACTAAGGATCCTTGTTAGTGAAGTCATTTCCATGAAAATGTGTAATCGTCTACACATTAAATAATTGTCTACTGATTACCCTGATGAAGGCAGTTCTTTGCTGAAATGTGTAGCTGCAGTTTTAATGATTAGCCATGTGAATAAAGGCTTTTAAATATTTTCCCCTTATTTTTTGAGTGCCTTGGACTGATTTTTGTGTATTGTCTATCTTTGTAGAATGTCTGGCTGTTTTATCACAGAGGACGGCTGTTCAGTGCTGGCTTCAGTTCTGAATTCAAAACCTACACATCTAAGAGAGCTGGACCTCAGCTGTAATCATCCAGGAGACTTGGGTGTTCAGCTACTCACGGCTAGACTGAATGATCAAACCTGTAAATTGGAGATACTCAAGTATGTTCTACAATGTGACATTTCTTGTGTTTTTATGCATGTAAATTCAACTTGTCTAGGATGCTGATCAATTTACAAGCCTGAGGACATTAAGTTTATGGCAAAATTATTAGCCCTTCTGTGAAATTTGTATTCCTTTTCAAATTTTTCCCAATTGATGTTTAACACAGATTTTTTTTTCGAGAGAACACATTTTAAACAATTAATAATAATAATAATTCCTTACATTTATATAGCGCTTTTCTGGGCACTCAAAGCGCTTTACACAGTGGGGGGAATCTCCTCATCCACCACCACAATTAGTTTAATGAGTAATTTCTTTTGTCTTTTGCCATGATGACAGTACATACTATTTTTTTTTTTTTTTTTTTCTTTTTTGCAGGATTTTAGTATTTAGCAAGTGTAAGGTAGAAACTAAACTATGTTGGGGAAGAAAATCAGTTGCTTTAACAACACACAATTTTTCTTCTGAAGTAAATGTATGTGGTTTTAGATGTCTTCCTCTTCACACAGTGATAGCAGTAAATATCCGGTATGACTTTACCGGTAAATTAAAAAAAGTGCTGTTCAAACAGGCAAGGACATTCTGTAATTTTTCCAGAAAAGACCATTCACACATCCATTCCAAAGTACCGGTAAATTCTGACATCATTAATTAGGCATTAGCTCAAAATGGCGGCGCTTTTATTTGTAAACATTTGACTACATACATTACAAACTCTGTGGATGGATAATTATTGTGAACAACTTTGATAAAAACATATAGAGGAACACTTTAGCATGTCGAGATGTGCATAATATGTGTGTGTGTGCTGGCGCTATCAAAGCTCCTTCACGTGCACACGCAACATGTCAAGCAACTGAAGGAAGCAGAACTTGAAGATAAACAAACAACGGCTTATCATAAGCCTCTTATTCATAATAATTTACACAGTTGGCATTAAGAGGGAACATAGAAACATTATTTGACTAACATCTAGCAGCTGAATGTGTCTGGAAAAATATTCAAAGGCTTATATCTTCATAAACCGTGTGGATGTGAATGCATTTGATTGGCTAAAGTTGATGTCAGCACGTTCACATCTAGAACATGCTCTTTCCGGCAATCTTTCTACAGTATTCACACAGCGCAGCGTTCCAACAAATTACCAGTAATGTTACAACTCCTCTTTCCGAAAAATTGCCAGAACGAATATACCGGTATTTTCAAAAAGGGCCTGTTCACACATACAGACCTTCTAGAAAAGTCTGTATGTGTGAAAGTGGCTAATGTCTAGCTTTCATTATGTAGAATTACATATGTAAACAACAAATAGCTACATGCCAAATTTTAATGTACACATTTAAAGAAATTAAACCACAAATTTAAAGGGAATAAAGTACTTGTATGTAAATGTATGTAATATGTTAGTTTGATATTTTGTGCAGACATTAATATGTTGTTTTTTTCTGCAGTTTGGAACATGAGGGCAAGTTTAGGATCGCAGCTGGTTTACGAAGATGTAGGTTCTTTCTCACAAACACATTTGAGCACAATATACTGTACAATGATGTACAAACATGACATCTTATCCCCAAACCTAATCCTCACAGAAAATGTACAGTTTTATTTTTAGAAAGTTTAATATAATTTATAAACTCTTTTCCTTATTGGGACAGACATTTCTCCAACTTCAGTCCATCTTACAGCATATTTGTAATGAAGGACATTATAGGAAATATTTGGTAAACACCCATATTTACTTGCAAAAAAATTTTGCATAGACAAACTTTAAACTATAAGCCCCCACCCCCCCCTGTAAACTAACCCTGATTGAGACTCTCAACATACCCCAAAAATAACACATTGGCTGGATTTGGCACATTTATGAATACACATTTCATGCCCAAACTAATAATAATAATAATATACAAACTTTCACCTTGAGACATGGTTTTATATTTGTTGTATTTGCCTGTGGTCTCTCACCTCTCTGTTCTTGTGTGCAGATGCTTGTGACCTCACCCTGGACCCCGATACAGCACACACACATCTGTCTCTATCTGATGGAAACAGAACGGTGACGCATGTAGCAGAGGAACAGTCCTATCCCGATCATCCTGACAGGTTTGAGTGCTGTCCTCAGGTTCTGTGTGCTGAGAGTCTGCGTGGACGCTGCTCATGGGAGGCTGAGTGGAGCGGGAAAAGCGGAGTCTACATTTCAGCCTCATATAAAGGCATCAGAAGGAAAGGACAGAGCGATGATTGTGAGTTTGGATCTAATGACAAATCCTGGAGACTTGTCTGCTCTGATAACAGCTTTTTAGCCTGGCACAATAATGAGAGAACTAAAATGCGTCCGCCTTCATCCTCATCTCGCTCTAAAAGGGTCGGGGTGTATTTGGACTGGCCAGCTGGCACTTTGTCCTTCTACAGCATCTCTGACAAAAATAAACTCACACACTTGCACACATTTTCCTCCACATTCTCAGAGCCTCTGTATGCAGGGTTTGGCCTTTATTCAGGAACCTCAGTGTCTCTGTGTCCTATAGAAACACAAAAAACTGTGGCAATGACATAAATACATTGTAAGATAGCAAGCACTTGGTTTACTTTTAGAAATTTTTACTGAGTTAAATAACTCTAGTTATAATAAAAAATTATATTTTTCAACTGACAGATGTTAAAGAGAGTTATCTGAACATTGCTACAGAGCATTCTCTCACCATTAACTCATCATTAATTTGTCTCAAACAGGGATGAGATTGAAATGTATTTTAAAACAAAATACAAAATACCTCAATTTTGCATGTATCAAAATGCAGCAGCCACAAATGCATCAAAACAAAAGAATGTATTTTGAAAATACTTTTATAAGGGAGCATGTCATTTTTTCGCAAACCTTCTTTCAATAGTCCTATTGGATCAATTTCTTCAGCAATAAACTGACTTAGTGAAGTAAACAATGATTGATAACAACAGCTTTTCTCTGAGCAAGTTTAAGTCAGCTTCTCTGCACCTCATCACCTCTACTGTAAGAATAAAAATTTTTATGTTTTATTCATAAGTTTTTATCTTTGATTTTAGTATAGATTTTGTACAAATTTCATACAGAAAGTCCTGTCTTGAAGATGATTTTTTTAATCATTGTATAATCATTTAATTCAGATAATGAGTTGAAATATAGTACTTAATCTCCTGATTGTGAAAATTGCTGCCATCTCTTAAAAATCTTATTTTTCAACATTTTTGCAATTGAAATCTTCAGTACTCAGTGTAAAATCACGATTTCCGAAAACTACTAAAATTTCCAGTCTTAGTCATTCATGTTTTTTTGCAATTGTACACCTCAATACACAATATAAAAACACAAGCTCTCAAAAAAATTGGTAGTTTTTGACAGGAATATTATTTCTTATTTTTGTCTGATACTGATTAACTATATCAAAGTTTGTAATTAACTATAAAGAGCATCTGCAGATTAGCTACGGTAATTTGAAAAAGCTAATTTATTTCTGTAAGTATCGCCACTTTAGGACTTTTTTTTTATGTTGTCTTATTTTCTTGTCTGATTTTGACCTTGTTATGAATTTACCTCTGCTATTTGTCTCTTGCTTTATGTGGGATGCACAATTTCCATTCGTACTCCAAGCATTGATCAACATTTTCAATATAAATCAGTTTTCTGTTCTCATCTCAAGCCTTGGCAAATAACTAAGAAAGCATAAATAAAAGACATTTGTTTGATGTCATTATGTAGACTTACACAGTATTTTCAAAATACAAACATACAACACAGTAAAGTATTTTGATACAAAATATTAAGCAATTTTCACAAACCCTATCAAATACAAATTACAAAATACTATTTTATATTTAAAATAAGTATTTGAAATACATATATCATAAATACTGCCCATCTCTGGTCTTAAACCTGTTTGAGTTTCTTCTCTGACAGGAACGATATTTTGAAAAATGCTGAAAACATGACTATTGACTTTTATAGTATTTGTTTTTCTTTAAAAGATGATTCTTGAGGTTAAGTAAATGGTATGTTAATTTTTTGGTGAACTATCCATAAGAATCCATAAAATTGTAATGCAAATATAACAATATTACAAAAGGGACAAAGACAAAAAAAAAAAAAGAAAGTTAATAATGAATGAACGAATGAATTAAATGATATTAAAACATTTTTTATTAAGGATGAAATAAAAGAAATAAACACGTCACATTTTCTCAAAAACTAATTAGCAGGTAGTGAAATAAGGGGATCATGTCAGTGATATTTAGAATGCATTTTATTGAGCTTGCTTCGTGAATATTGATACAACTCGTTGCTTAACTACTGTAGCGTTTGTTAGAGTGTTTTTTTTTTTTAAATTTTACAAAAGGTAGATAAATATTTTAAAATAAATAATCTAACTATTGTACTTTAACACATTAAGAGGAAAAATAACTACAAGTAAATTATGCCAATTTCTTATTTTTGGGTAAATTATCCCTTAAAAGGGGACCTATTTTGCCCCTTTTTACAAGATGTAAAGTAAGTCTCTGTTGTCCTTAATGTGAAGTTTCAGCTCAAAATACCCCACAAATACTGTATTAGAACTCTTTGAAACTGCCCCTTTTGGCTTTGATCTTAATTGTGCTATTTTGGTGACTGTCGCTTTAAATTCAAATTAGATTGTGCTCTTTTCAAAAGAAGGTGGAGCTTTATGTGTCAGCATAGTGGCAGATTCAAAAACAAGACTGACCTCCAATGCTAATGAGGGAAAGATTGTCACTAATAGGTGTGACTTTCCCCCTCTGATGACATGTACAAATGGAGAATGTCTTTCAAAGTGTTTCTGCAGACTGTTTTTATGAGTTGTGATTATAAAAAAGAATAATTATTACATTTTGACTATATGACGCAGGTTAAATTCACAGTTACCACACACCTGTGTTTAAACCCCTTATAAAAGTGATTTTTGCACAATAGGCCCCCTTTAAAATGGATAGTTTAATAAAGCATTTCTGCACAGTCATTTTTCTCTGTAACTTACTGACTAGAAGAATCAATTCTGTGGTTCCATGTCTTCATCTCCACTGCTTCTCGTTTGAAACGGCTCTTCACACACTGATAAAATAATGGAAGTATCACAAATCAAAACAATGCACGCAAATATCAAGATAATGTTTCTGAATTTTATTTAATAAAATATTTAAGTATAAAATATGCAATTGAAATGAACTCACTGTCTGGATTGTTGTCTTTGCTGTTTCTTCTCACTGTGTTTAGTGTGCAGTATCACCAGCAGTGTTAAATAGAGCAGCAGGAGAATATTCAATGAACAAATCTATTGATAAAATTAGATCATTTGTTTCAATCTGAACTAACGTACATAACCTGAACCCATCATAAAATTTAAATCTAAAAATGATTCAAAGATTTCAGTACCTGTCCTTGACATTTCAGCATCACTTTGTTAGGTATGCTTAATGTAAAACACTGTTTCTAGGCATAGGTTATGCATATATTTATTTGCTTTTTTTAAATGATTATAATTCAGAGAAACCAGTTTTACTTTAGGACATTGGTCAAGATTAGCTTCTCAGTAAATTAAGAGCTGTGAACATGTATAAAATATAACCTTTAAAGGCCAAAATAACCTATAAAAGCATGCTAAACTGTGCTTGATTATGTGTAGGTCTGTCGATTTCTAAATAGATGCTTCTTGGCTATGGATTGTCATTCATGTTAACTGGACTGTTTAACTAGACAATGTTCCACTATCTGCTCAAATGCACATCTTAGATTAGCTGATGTTAACTCACCCGCCAGAAGAGAAGATTCCTTTATTTTATTTCTTTCCTCTTCACTCCATGTTCTGTGAGCCTGTGGAAATAAAAATAAGAAATTTTGATTTATTTGTTGATTGGTGCTTTTATATCTTAAAGGACTAAACTGATTCTGATCGAATAAAGAGCAATCATGAAGAAATCCCGATTCAGAAAGCAACCATTCATTACGGATCAAAGGTATTATAAATTTGCATTTTTTTAATTACTTTTTATTTTGAGACTTTTTTTTAAATATGCAGTACATTTCTTCTTAGTTTCAGTTTGTTTCATGAATGGTTTTATTCGTTTATATTTAGTTTTAAATTTGTGAAAACAAATTTGTGGTTCAAGTCCTGGCATTTCCATGTGACATTTGCATGTTCTCCCCTTGTTGGCGTGGGTTTCCTTCGGGTGCTCCGGTTTCCCCCACAAGTCCAAAAATATGCAGTATAGGTGAATTGAGTAAAAATAGTGTATGACTGAATAAGGGAGTGTATGGATGTTTCCCAGTATTGGGTTGCAGTTGGAAGGGCACCTACTGCATAAAACATATGCCGGAAAACTTCCATTTTTATCCCGGTTCATTCCATTGTGGCGAGCCCTGATAAATAAGAGACTAAGCCAAAATAAAATTAATGTTATATATATATATATATATATATATATATATATATATATATATATATATATATATATATATATATATATATATATATATATATATATATTAAAAAAATATTTAGATATAAATCTGTGGTTTATCAATCCTGGTTCTGGCGATCCACCAATCTGCACATTTTGTGGAAGTCCCCACTGTTTACTACATCTGATTTAGATCATTAACGCAGAGCTTCATATGGTGAACTGAGTGTTTCACATAACAGAGGCATAGACATCGTCCCCAACATCAGGAATGAAGAACACTGATACGGATAATTTTTTTTCAGTGAAAAATGCAAACATGCATGAAAATGTTTTTATAAATCATACTGTAAACTCAATCAGTTTAGGGTAAATTTGTACTATTACCTTATCAGTTTTTAAGAATTGTCTGACAGTAAGCTTCCAGCAATTTGTCGCCACGTCTGCAACTATGTCGACTGGTCTTGTGTTTCTTGTTGTTCGTGCACCGTTTCTTCTTGCTTTTACTAATGCTAATACTACTATTGCTCCAAGGAGAATCAGAAACAGTATTGCTTTTGTTGCTCCTGCTATTGGTGCTACTGCTTCTTCTGGTGCTCCTACTACTGCAAATAATGATTTTGTTGCTACTACTCCTCCATTTGCTAATGCTGCTCTTCCCTGAATTGTCACTCTTGGTGCTACTGATGATTTTGCTGTTGCTTCTGCTTCTCCTGCCTGAACTACTATTGCCACTCCTGCTACTACTAATGCTCCAGCTACTGCTGCACCTTTCCACAAGTCATCTGTTGACACAAAGCATTAAAAATCTAAATTACACATTGTACCATTTCAAAGAGAAACTAAATGAGATGTAATAGTAGAGGAAATATTATTGTTAACCTGGTTTTAAAATTTTACACATATTTAGTCTAACATTAAAACACTGAACAGGCGAAGTTACACTGGAAAAAGTTCAAAATGAGGTGTAAAATACTCACATCCTACTTTTACTGTAATCTCCTCAGTTGCATCTCCACTGGTGACCTGACACACATAATCTCCCACATCCGACTGTCTGAAGTCTCTCAGATATAAGGACACGTTTCCTTCTTCCAGATCCTCAGTCAGAAAACTCACTCTGCCTCTGTAGCTTCTTCCTTCCAACAGTTTTCTGTTCTTATAGAGAAACACACATTCTGTCTCCTTAAACCACCTGATCTCCATGTCAACAGCGCTGATTTTAGGTGACAGATGACACGGCACTGTGAACTCCTGTTCAACATTTTCTCTGTCAGCTCCTTCAAGAACAAGCTGAAACTCATCTGTCAGGAAAAAGAAGTAAATACAGTCATGTCATTACAATGATATGTTTACAATTGGAATGCACTCAATGCTAGGATATATTTACTACTCCAGTATAAACTGTATAAATAATATATATATTGTTATACTGTACATGTACTTTACAAGGAATTTATCTTGCTAAAAAATAGAAAATATAAAGAAAGTTAAAAGAATAAATAATAGAGCAGTGATGAAAACAGTTGTAAAATAATGGAAGTAAATCCTCTAAAATGGAGAACATAAAACAGAATTTGTGCAGAACATTTAAATGTGGAAAAGTGCAAATGTTTGCACTATACATTATATACATTTATGTATATTTGTGCAAGATGTGTAACAAAAATATATAATATCAGCCCCTTTAAGCTATATATTTTTTTCGATAATCTACAAAACAAACCCTTGGTATATAATAACTTACCTTATAATTACCCTAACCTGCCTAGTTACCTAATTAAACTTAAGCCTTAAACTAATGTCATTTAAGCTGTATAAAAGTGTCTTGAAAAATATCTAGTCAAATATTATTTACTGTCATCATGGCAAAGATAAGTTAATGAGTTTATTAGATTAGATTAAATTAGATTAGATTCAACTTTATTGTCATTACACATGTACAAGTACAATGCAACGAAATGCAGTTTAGGTCTAACCAGCACTGCAATAGCAGCAAGTGCAGGATACAGGTATAAGTTATAAAGTGCAGTAATAGAAAAACTATGGTGATATTTACAGATGGATGTACTATCAATATTATACAACATTATATACAGGTTGTATTAGCTATGAACAGAGATTTACAATAAATTAATATATGTACATGTTGCTATTAATAATCAGAAGTGTGCAGACAGATAAACATGATTACAAATGTATATGTGCTGTGGGTATGTACAGTTCAAATAAGTAAATCAGTGCAATGTAGTGCTATGAATATGTGCAAATTTTAAATGTGCAAATGTCAAACAGTGCAGTGATTGTGAGGAGTTTAAGTTTGAGGAGAGTGGGGGGTTGGGGGCAAAAGAGTCAATGAGCGGCAGAGTTCAAGAAAAAGACAGCTCTGGGAAAAAACTGTTCCTCAGTCTGCTGGTTTATTATGTGTAAGAATGTGTTGAAAAAATCTTCTCTCTTAAACAGAAATTGGGGAAAAAAATAAACGGGGCTAATAAACAGAAATTGGGAGAGAAAAAAAATAAACAGGGGGGCTAATAACTCTGACTTCAACTGTATTTCAGCACTTGTGTGTGCAAATGCAATACAATTGAAACAACAGAGGGAGCTCAAACACATCGCAAATTAAAAACACATGCAAACAAGTTAAGAAAACGTCTTCGTCTTCTGGCAACACACACCACACGCATGCAAATTCTCACATGTGGAGTAAAGTAAATTAGGTGTGTTTCTGTGTGAATCTATGGGTTTCCAAGCAATGGGGGTTCACAAGTTATTACAGTACTCTCAGTGCTGAGTTGCAGCTGGAAGGGCATCTATCACATAAAACCAACATTGGCTGTTCAATTCGCTCTGTTTGCCCCTGATAAATTACCTATATGATAATGAGTGAGATTGTAGCTTGTTTGTGTATTTTTAGTCCTTGATAATTTGTGGCGTACAACTAGGATGCCATTAGTAGAAGATTATTTTACTCTTAAAAAACAAAGTTTGTTGATTTTCAATCCCAAACTAGAAGAACCCTGTATAATTTTTGTAAATGAAAAAGCAATTTCACTTCATAATTATTTTACTTACCTTTGCTTGCTTTTGCCATCTTCTTTGTCGCCTAAAGGGCGAAAAACATGAAGGTATATGGATGATTTCATCAAATGTAGAATAGAATAGTTTTTGTGTTTAGCAGCTATTTAATTTGTATAGGGAAATGTGGGCTGCTTGGCAAAAAAGGTTTTCTACTCAAAAGCTATTGAATTCATGTTGGAAAAGCGTACAATCAGTGTAACTTTAGAGTCGGTGCCTGGATTTGCGAACGTCTCGATATGAAACGTCCAAGGTAAAACTATCTTTGTCAAACATTCTATGCGCACTGTTTTTTTAAACTTCACGTTAGCGTGGTGCGACGTTTTGCAACAAAATATTTAAACTAAAGGTTTAAAAACAATAATCATTTTCTGCTTCGCTCAGTCAGCGTGTATTCACAACATTAAAACATTTCCACAGTGAATTTAGGTGACAAGACAATGTCAATGACACAGACGCATACTGACCTATGTACTTGAATAACAGTTACAGAAAATGGAAATTGTAAGAGCCTATCAATATATTGACCTGGCATTTGTACAATAGTTATGAATTTGACGATTTGGTAGCTCGTTGAATAGTGCTTGTAGCCCGAGAGGCAGCACATCGTATTCAACAACGCCGCACGCCAAAGTGCGCTTCAGGATATTTAAAAAAACTTCAACAACAGACTAGAGATCTATATCTAGAGCGGTAGTAGACTATATGCTTACCTTTACTTCCTTAGACACAAATAGTTTGTTTAGGTGCGGCGCCGACAGGTCAGGTTCGTTTTGGTTTCAGTTTTGCTTTCTTCTCGCATCATCATCATCCATAATAACTGAAATCTGATACTGCCGTGAAAATATGTAGCCTACATGATAGGAACATCCATGTAACTTACATTTTTGACGCTTCTGTATTTATATTTGGAATAAAATATTTTGGTTAATAGATTTGCATTTTACTTAATAATTAACTTGTACGTATACACAAAGGTCAATTTGTATATAAATAATATGAATATTGAAAAAAAAACTAGTACGTGTTAATCTGGAAATAGTACACTAATAAAGTAATAACTTGATCTAACCATTTTTATTTATTTTTATTTTACAAATTTGCATTAACAAACAATCATAAATAGGCTACTATAAAAACTGTACTGCTCGAGCAGACAATAACACTATACTGTCCTATACTGTCCTGAGAATTTTGTGCTGTGTCACAAGGATTCTTTCTGTAAATTCTTGGGAGCTGAGGAACTTTTAATTTTTTTAGATGAACAATCAATGAATTATTCAGCTCCCAGAAATCATCAGCACATCCAGCCAGCCAGAAGTGCATACTCAATTTTAATTTTCCCTTTGTCCTTTGGGTAAGTGTTAAAAGCAGGCTTGTGTGAATTTGTCATCATATTTTAAATCAAAACCAGAAGTTATCATAAACACAAACTGATTTAAGTAATCAAACTGTACGAGAGGTACAACAAGTTTGTAATCATTCATGAATAAAGGAAAATGAAGTTAGTTTCGGTTGCATGACCTCACATAGGTTCAGTGTAGATAAACCAGTGTTTTGTGTGACTGAATTCATTCTTCACTCTCACTGGGTGCGATTTCTTCCTGTTTTCCAGAAGCATGACAGCTAGAAGTGGCAGTAAGTTTTCTAAAAAAAAAATATTGTATTATTATTTCAACTGTTAATCAACATGGGGTTGTAAAGTCACTTCTACAGTAAGTATAAATTTTAAGTATCATTTGATCTCTGAATATATACTGTATACAGAGACACATAGAGAGATGTGTGTGTGTGTGTGTGTGTGTGTGTGTGTGTGTGTGTGTGTGTGTGTGTGTGTGATTTAAGACTGAGTAAACAGCAATCTAAATGTGAGTTTGACATTTCTGAATGTTATTTGAGCATAATTGTTGTGATGAACAGTACAGAATATCAAATAAAATAGATTTTAAACATCTACATAAATCAGTATATGAAAGACACTAAATTGTTTCAAATAACACAGCATAGCTTACATCTGATCCTCTTTCCAGGTTTCTTTTCCCTCACAGATGACTTCCAGCTTGTTATCCCTGAAAAAGGTGAAAGAGTTAAGATTAATCATGGACCTGCTCTTGTTGTTTCGTGCCACTTGTCTCCTGCAATCAGTGCTGCTGACATGGACATTACCTGGTATAGCGAGACATCTGTTGTGTGCGCTTATAAGAATCGAGAGGTGACACAGGGAGTTGGCTATGAAGGAAGAGCCAATCTGTTCATCCATGATCTGGTGAGAGGGAATGTGTCCTTACGAGTGGCAAACTTTACAGAGTCTGATCTGGGAGTTTACATGTGCCAGGTCACCAGTCAAAATAAAACACAGCAGATAACTGTCAATGTAACAGAAGAAGGTAAGCACTTCATAACTCCTCTAATAATCTTATGATAAAGTAAAGCGTAAAGTAAGTGATACATTTATATTTTAATGATCGGTAGAGCTTCCGCAGTTAACTTTTTTTTTTTTTTTTTGGCTATAGAATCTGCCATTTTCAAGGATCAGCACTTATTCACAGTGGTAAGACAGAATCATTCTTTCTTACATACTGTAGCTCATAATTTACAAGATATTATAGAAAAACATTATAAAATGTATACAGCGTTTTCCTGAAGAAGAACAAAAAACTTGATTTATAGGACATGAAACTACTAGAACCACTGGAAACAGGAATAAGGCTGAAACAACCTACAGCATTACTTGCCAACAGAGGCATACACCTGTGTACAAGTACACTAATTAGTGAACAAAACTCAGATGGAGACAACACAGTACTGTTGCAAGTAGCCTCAACAGTATACTGTATAATATATTTCAAATTAAGAAACTTGCAAATATCAAACAAAGCTCTTCTGGAACTGTTTCAGAAAAGCCTATTGAGATGATGTGGGGGCGAAAGTAAAAGGAACCGAAACTAAACTGGCAAAAACCCACTGTCTGATTGGGTTCCTGAATTGAATAATGAAAAGCTGCAACAAGCTTAGTTGTTTAATATGATGCCAAATATGTGTACCCCTGAATTATTATGCCCCTGTAGATTTTTTTCCCCCAATTTATTTTTAACGAATAGAACAAATTTCTAAACTCAATAGTTTTAATAACTCATCTCTATTAACTGATTTCTTTTATCTTGTCCATGATGACAGTAAATAATATTTGATTAGATATTTTTCTAGACACTTCTATACAGCTTAAAGTGATATTTAAATGGCTTAGCTAGGTTAATTAGGTTAACTAGGCAGGTTAGGGTAATTAGGCAAGTTATGGCATAACGATGGTTTGTTCTGTAGACTCTTGAACAAAAAAATTAGCTTAAAGGGGCTAACAATTTTGACCTTAAAATGGTGTTTAAAAAAATGTAAACTGCTTTTATTTTAGCCAAAATAAAACAAATAAGACTTTCTCAAGAAGGTCAAATATTTTCAGACATACTGTGATAATATCCTTGCTCTGTTAAACATAATTTTGGAAATATTTAAAAAAGAAAAAATCAAAGGGGGGCTAATAATTCTGACTTTCACTGTAGTAATATCAATGGAAAACTAAACCATCAAAATGTAAGCTCTGTCTTTTTTGTAAGCTCTGTCTAGTTTTCTTCGTAAAGTAAGGTTAGCAATAAAAATCTGCGATACATTCACATAACCATTTTAAGACATTTCACGAGTTCACACTCACAGATATTTGACTGTTTTGATGTGTATTCGGCAGGGGAGAGGGTTCTGAGCCACCCGCTTTGAATATTATTACTCGATTGAATGGGTTATCAGTGGTTATCATCTGATCGATATGGGCCAGTAGAGGCCTTCTGCACTTACTGGTAGGCTCAGAAGGCTGTTATCATCCATCCACATGGTTAATCAGCTATACTAAGATAAGACTCCAGATCCAGATCTGTTTTACCGTGACAGTTAGATTTGGGGTTGGGGTAGACATTAATAAAATACAATTATTGGAAAATTTAATAAAAAATATAAATACTTCTCATAGTTAATCAGCTAGACTAACAGAGAAGACTTCAGATTCAGATCTGTTTTTACATTACTGTGACGGTTGGGTTTAGGGTTGGGGTAGACGTTAATAAAATATAATTAATAAGAAATGTAATAAATAATATAAATAATTATCCGTTAACTTTCGACTGCAGCCGTATGTGATCTATAGCTGATTAGCCATGTGGATGGAAAACACTGGCCCATATCTATTAGCTGAAAACCACTGATAACGCCCATTCAATCGAGTGATAACATTCGAATCGGCGGTCTGAGCTCGGAAAAGAAACCCTAACTCGTATTATTCCCCTTATCAGGATAGAGAGAGAGATAGAGGTCCGAGCACAGTGCGTAGCTCAGCTATGACAAGTTTGACTATTTATAGGGATTTGGTCTTAAGCTGATTGGATAATACAGTGGTCACCAAACTTGTTCATGGAGGGCCGGTGTCCTGCAGATTTTAGCTCCAACCCTAATCAAACACACCTGAACAAGCTAATCAAGGTCTTATCAGGTATACTTGAAACATCCAGGCAGGTGTGTTGAGGCAAGTTGGAGCTAAACCCTGCAGGGACACCGGCCCTCCAGGACCGAGATTGGTGACCCCTGGGATATAAGAATGAATGACTACGTTTACATGGACATCAGTAATTGAATTATTTGCCTCAATCTAATTAAGACAAGGCGATGCAGTGGCACAATAGGTAGTGCTTTTGCCTCACAGCAAGAAGGTCGCTGGGTCGCTGGTTCGAACCTCGACTCAGTTGGCGTTTCTGTGTGGAGTTTGCATGTTCTCCCTGCATTCGTGTGGGTTTCCTCCGGGTGCTCTGGTTTCCCCAACAGTCCAAAGACATGCGGTACAGGTGAATTGGGTAGGCTAAATTGTCCAGAGTGTATGAGTGTGTGTGTGTGTATGTATCCCAGAGATGGGTTGCGGCTGGAAGGGCATCAGCTGCGTAAAAACGTGCTGGATAAGTTGGCGGGTCATTTCGCTGTGGCGATCCCGGATTAATAAAGGGACTAAACCGATAAGAAAATGAATGAATAATTAAGACAACAATATGATTAAGATGTTTACTGGTGTTGCTTTTTGAATGTGCCTTTTATGATCCCGTTTTACATGTTAGGCCTATAGCACATAATTCAATTATCGTCATTGCGTCAACAGACTATCCAAGTTTCTTCTGGAGTTTTATGTAATTTATAGTGTTTTGTTATTTAACTTGTCGACTTTAACTGCAGTTTGACACTTTCACTTTAATTCAGGAAGATTACATGCATGTCACCGTGACAAATGAGATATTGGATGATATTATGACCTGCTGGTGAAGTGTTGTTTTAATGGAATTTGATACCGAATTCCTAACGGTAGAAAAAAAAACCCTCAGCATTTCGCAGTGTGTGTCTGTGGTCCTACGGACTCGATAGGTGCAGAGAACAGTGTGAAACAGCCGTGTGTGTATGAAATATCCTATTGCAAAATGCGGCAAAAATCCTACACAATGGTAGTATATGTTTACATGTCTTTACTGCACTTCAATAATGTGACTAAAATCGGCATGCTCCACATGTCTAAATCTGATATCTGTTTAGTTTGATGATGAGCTTAATCGGATTAAATTATTTTTAAAAAATGCTGTTTAAATGGTAACTCTAAATCAGAGTATTGTCTTAATTGTATTAAAATTAGATTATTTATGTCCATGCAAACATACTCATTTTCAATAATGAATTAGCCTCGTCAAAACTGATCATGCTTCTCCTGAAATTTGTTCATAAGACATCACTTGGAAAGCTTTAACTACTTGTGTTGTGACTTTCTTTGTGTCATTACAAGTAAATACTGTAAATCATTGTTTTATTTTTTGTCCAACAAGCTGAAGTCATTAAACTTTTTCTTAATTAGGATTACAAAATGAGAGAAACAAACAAAGGTAAGTTGACTTAGCTTATCAAAAAAAAAAAAACTAATTCTACCATTATTTATTCCCCTTCACTTCTTCCAAACCTGTTTGAGTAGCCTATTCTTAGAACAACTATTCATAATGGTTTTATGAATGTGTATGTTATATGACTTGTGAATCTTTTTTTTGTAGAGTTATGTCAACATGAATCAGACAAACATCTACCTGAGGTTTGTGTGTTCACTGTTTTAAGCAGCAAATTTGGTCAATTGTCATTTCTGACATAATTTCAAAAGGAACATTAGGACAGGGCAAGATATATTGAGTAGCTCCACCCCTTTAAGAAGTAGCCAACGGGTAGGTTTTAGAGTTGATATAAAGCTAATTTACTTTTATTCATAATAATGTTTTACATCAAAACAGAAATCTTTTTTCAATCCTATATTTAATTGTAGATGATGTTCTGCCCAACAAATATAATAGTTTAAAAAGTGCAGAATTGTTTTTATTAAAAAGTATTATACAACTTTTTTTAAAAATCTTTCAAAACATTTGAGTTACTTCCCTTTAACCATTTGAGAATCATTAGTGAATCATATTTGTGTGTTGATGTTATCTCTCAATGTTCTTTCACATATTTTTCCATCTCAACTTGGATTACAAGAAGGGAGAGGGAAGCTACAGTAAGTGGCATCAAATTATTTTGTTAGATTGAGCGATTCAAATATATTTCACTTAACCTTAAAACTTGAATGTTTTACCTACACTATTTCAATGCAGTTTTACATTTTTTTCTGGGGTACATTTCCACTAATAAAACCATTGTTTGACAATTTAAAGAACCTTTTTATACATGTTGTAATCTGGGATGTATGGTTCTTGCTTGTAAATGTTTATGGTATTTTTTTCTGCATTTAAGAAATATCAATCAAGTCATATCACAGTGCTTCAGACAAAAATCAGCATGGGGTATGTGCAGTGTACACCGATACAATCATAGTATATATATATATATATATATATATATATATATATATATATATATATATATATATATATATATATATATATATATAATTTTATTTATTTTATTTTTTTTTTAATCATTAACAAATACTGCACACTTTGCACAGCATCTATCACTTTTTCTATTCAGTGTAAGGATGTTCAGCCACGAGATGCTAAATACGTTTGATTTTTTTTTTTTCTTGTTTAAGGGGGACAAAGGTGAAACAAGTAAGGGTATGTTTTTAAATCAGAATTTGCACAGCACATTAAAAGGTTAATAAGTACTGACGTGTACATCTCTGTATGTGTTCATTCCTCATTGATCCTATGAAAATATGAGTGGTATTGTATGCATTATAGAATTGTCATCAAAGATTCTCAGATCAAAAAGTCTTCCTGCATACAAGATGTCTGAGGTATGTGCTCTTTAATTATCCATTACCCATAAAAATATATTGTGTGTGTATCTGTTTGTTTCTACATCAAATATGTCAGATAATCAAAGAAACTGCATTTGCCCCAATTTATATTAGGACAACATGAATGGACCTGAAAAAAGAAGTAAGTTGCTTTAAATTACTCACATAAAGTGACATTGACTTGTTATTTAGTAGAAAGTGTCAAAAGAAACATATGGTGTTTAAAGATGCCTTTACAACTTTTTTGACTTTAAGGGTATCTACTTTAAAATCCACTTACATTGCATCTCTAAACACAATAAAAGACTGCATGTTTATATGTGTGTGTAAAAAAAAGTCACTGAAAGAAGTAGATTTTTTCACTGAAAATATAAGATAACATTAAAAAAATGTGTGCTTACAATGATTATTACATATTTTGAAGTTGTATGGCATAGTTTCATATTTTAAGTTGACTGAACTTAAAGGCTTTACGGCATCTTTCAGTGTGTTAGTTTTATTTGAGAAGAGTTATATTTGTTTTCTGCTTTGAAGAATTATCAAGCCAAGTATATAGCAGAAGTCTGCATGGGGTATGTTGCAATTTAAGCAATATTTGTGATGTGGTATTTGTAATCATTAATCAGTCAATCAAGCTAAAAGTTAATAAAGATCACTCATCATTCAATACATACCTTTACTCTTAATAACAATTTTTTATATCTCAATTAGGATTTCAAGATGGCATTGTCAAAAAGCAGTAAGTTTTAAAACATTTCTGAAAATGTATTTTGAGGATGTGAAATACCTTTGAGTGCATCTCTTTTCCTCTTAGGAAACTTTCAGCTGGTTGTTCCCAGCACGGCAGAAGCTGAGGTTTCTTTGGGGTCTGATTTGGTTATTCCTTGTCAACTGTCTCCTGAAATCAACGCTGTGGACATGGAGATCAGCTGGTCTAAAGATGCAGACTGTGTTTGCCTGTATAAAGACAGGAAGATCGCAGAAGGGGTTTGGTTCAAGGACAGAGCGAGTCTGTTCTTCACTCACAAACTTAAAAAAGGAGACGTGTCCTTGCGACTTAAAAACTTCAGGCTGTCAGATATTGGAAATTACCACTGTCAGGTCATTAATGGAGACAGAAGAGAGGAGATAACTGTGAGAGGTGAGCAGTTCTCTTATGCTTAGTTATAAAAGACTAATTGTGCAAAAGAAATTTAGATATCAACAAAGACAACGTCCACAAAAAATAATGAGTAATGTTGTTGTTAGTGAGAGTCAATCCTGGCATCCAACCTGTGAATCAGTCTCCAATATATCAAGATAAAAATGCCCCATCTATACTACGTGAGGTAAGAAAAACCTTTCTATTAACAAGTGTAAATATTTTACTTTTAGAAATAGCCTAACATATTCAAAACCAGAATTCTGAATAAAAAAAAAATCTTAGATTTGAATTCTTTAATGCCTCAATTAGTGAAACAGTAAGCCTCTGATCTGTAGCTATTTTGTTCATGCATAAATATTGGGTTTAAATATGGTGATAAAGATTCAAACATCCTTGCAATCTTATTCCTAAACTGCAATTCAGTGCAGGCTTGTATCCAGGAGGGGTCCAGGTGGTTCGAAAGACCCACCCCTCCCTGACAAAGGTCCAGAATTTGTCCCATACATGCGCTCATTTGTCCTATTTGACTACTATGCCATCATAAGTAGTGAAAATAACCCATTGAAAGGCTTTAAAACTAAGCAGAATCCTTTGTTGGTGGTCACTTCGTTCTAACTTCAAATCAGTTTTGATCAATGCAAACATTTATTTTTTTATGAGTCCAACATTCAGCTGTGCTGTCGTAAAAGAAGTCATCTTTCACTACTCTATTGTTTTTAAATAGAGAAAACATTTTACGAGTAACTTTTATCTGAATCCCGGACTTTATTCTTGAAACAAAAAATCACCAATTGAAAAGGTGTAAAGCACCAAAAGTGGCCTGTATTAAAATTTGTTTAAATACTAAATTGGCTATTGTTGTTATACATGAATATTCAAATGTGCTTTTCTTCAAGAGAGGCAAAAAAATCATAAAACTCTACATTATTATTACATTTGAATTATTATTATTCAAATGGCCAAATTCTGACTGTAGAAAATTAAATGTGTGTTGTTATTTGCTTAATAAATGAAAATAGGTTACAGACTCTTATTTTTTCCTTATCATGTAATACATTTGTATTTTAAAAATAAGTATTTATTCATATTTCTTTTTTCTAAATCTTTAGGAAATATTTTAGGTACATCAAAATGTTTGGTTATGATGACCACCCGACAAGCTAATCTAGCTAAAAATAGTCTTTGAAATGTCACTAAATGCAGTATTTAAATAGAAAATGAGGTGAATAACTCCAAAAAGTTCCATTTTTTTTAGACAAAATAACCACCCCTTTCACCAGGCTGGCCATGAGCAAGCAGTGGTGTCTATAATTTTGATACAGTGGAAAAAATCTAAACTGGGTTTGCACTGATTCTGACATAGAGAAATGAACCATGCATTACAGAAAACAAAGTGTAAAAAAGTCATTTCAATCATTACTATACAGTTAATTCAAAAAAGAGATTCATTCAAAAGTGCTGATTCATTCAGGAATGAAGGTTACATCTAAAAAAATGCTAAACTAAACTAAAAATTGATGAGAACAGGGCAAATATGGTAGATTAAGAATACACATATTAATTTTACACATAATCACCATTTTGAAAGGTTACCATTTTTACAAGTATTCATTCACAATAAGTTCCTGCTCACACAAGTACACAAAGATGTACCTATACACACAAAGTCTTTATGTGGAAATCATTAAAAAAATCATTCATATAAACATATTGATTAAGATTATAATAATTCTAAAATAATTATCCAAAATATTCAGAACTAATTTCTTTTTTAGTCTCTTATTTTTGATCGATCATCCCAAACCACATTTTTCCTAGAGTCATGTAAAAGAAAGAATATTTTGACAGATCAGTATTGTATGCTGTGGTGGCCCGATAAAAGGTATCAATAACACTATTTTATTCATATTATTTCTACAAATACATCTGAGATACAGACCAGACAGAATGAATAAAACAAAACTATTTATTGTAAAACATATTTGCGTCTTATTTTTGTCTGATTTCATCTTAGGATGAAAAAATTATAAAAGCAACCAACAGTAAGTCAAAATTAAAATTATTTACTCATTTGTTTTAAGACTAGAAGAAACTCTTGCCATCTGTGTTGTAATGTTTGTTGATGGGTTTTTGTTTTCTGAATTATAGAATCACCAAGGCATCCTTCACATCACAGTGATTCATATCAGAGACAACATGTGGTATGTGTGCATATAACTGTCCATAAATACATTGACACTACTGTTTTAAAGTCCTGAAGGTGTTAAAGAATTTTATAAATTGTTAATTGTGTGATTAATTAAATGTAAATCAGTGCATGGCTCATCAATATATTAGACTCATTCTTAAACTGTTACATTTATTCCACAAACTGACCTCATGTTGTGAATCTTTGTAAAGAATCACTGTAAAATGAATGTTTGGGAGTTATGTTGGATGTACAAGACTACATACTAACTTTGTTTTCCTCGACATTAGAGTTTCAACGAGAGGATCTCAAGCAATGGTAAGTTTTCTTCTAATCATTAAAAAATATAAGTTTCACTTATTACAGTTGAGTATATTTAAACACAAAATACAGTAATCAAACATTTGAAGTGTCTCAAAGTAAGTTTTGTTTTTAAATTGTGCTAAAACAAAAATGGGTGTTGTTTAATATGTTTAGATAGCTGATTGGCTTTAGTTGAAAATGTTTTAGAGAGATTGGTCAAGATTTGATGAGAAACTAAAGTATGAGGTGACATGAAAAAAAATGTTGAACCATTTAGGCGGAAATGACAAAATGCAACTTTTACATGTTTACATTGGTTGTATATCTTCGAAACATGTTGTCTTTGTTTTGTACCACACTAGCTTATAAATCTTAAAGACTAATATCTAAAAAAAAAAAATAAAATGTTATTTTAATTTCACTGGACCTTCAATGTTTTAATCTACTTTAAAAAGTACATTTGAAGGTAGTAGTTGTGTAAGTCCATCTTTTTTCTCAACAGATTTTCAACTTGTTATTCCCCAAACAACTGAAGAAGCAAAGGTTTCTCTGGGGTCTGAATTGACTGTTCCTTGTTACTCGTCTCCTGAAATCTGCGCCACTGCCATGCAGATCAGATGGTTTAAGGAGACCGACTGTGTTTGTGTCTACAAGAACAAGCATATGAATGAGGGCAGAGGCTATAAAGACAGAGTTAGTCTGGACAGTCGAGAGCTCGAGAGAGGAAATGTGTCTGTACTTCTGAGAAACTTCAGTGTTTCAGATGTTGGAGATTATCACTGTCAGGTCAGCAGTGGAGGCAGAACACAACACATTACTGTAGGAGGTGACTATTTTCTACTATACCACATTTGTTATCTTTTGCTAGAACAAAGTAAACAAATAGTTTTAGTGTAGACTGCTGGGTTTCATTGTATTGAATACAATGAAATATTGTATTGATTATTATTGATCTACTTGATTGTGAGTTAGTAGTTCACACAGATTTTACAAATTCCTACAAACCTTTTTATGCATGAGTTGTTGTATTATTAGTGAGGATAAAACCTGAAGTACAACCTGTGAGCCAAGCACCAACACCTCAAGACCAATGTGTCCAGCTAATGCTGTCTGAGGTGAGTGCTTTAAGTGTCATTTTGAATATCATAAAATATTGTAAATGTATTATATCAAAACTTGTTAATACTAGTAGATTACAACAAAAGTAAAAAATATAGTTCACCCAAAACCGAAAATTCTTCATTCTTTAATCATAATTCACTTGTCACAAGCCTGTTTGATTTTCTTTATTCTGCTGAACACAAAATAGGTTATTGTTGGAAAACATTGGTCCAAATTGTTGAAAACTTGTAACCACTCCTTCCATAGAATCTGTAGGGATGCACTTATATTGATTATTTGTATGATATTGATAACCGATAACTCTTTAGATTTTGAGGCCGTTAGCTGATATACCACAGCCGAAAAATATTAATATTTCAAAATGTTATATTTTTATACAGTGAACAACTGATTTTATTTTAAAAACTTCATAAAGGTTTGAACTGATCTTATGAACTGAATACTCAAAGAAAAAAGCTATAATTTAAAAACGGCAAGGCAATTATAGACCTATATTCATGATTTCACATAAATCAGCATGCCAAAAGTAAATTATTTCCTTTTCTTTGCATAGCAAATTAACATATAACTTGACTGTTGTATAAAAATAATAGGTTAAATAACAAAATTGGACTTATTTAACAAACAAGTTAAATTAATATATTTTGAACAAAAGGAAAATGAAAAAAGAACTGAAACCAGCTTAAATGTTCTTGAATAAAACATGTTACAGCAATGTACATATGTAGAAATATGTAATGCCCAAAAAGACGTTTTGAGAGGTGTTTTGACACTTCAGAACCACCGTACAAGTGAAAAGCAATACAGAGAGTAACACTTTAGAAAAAGCAGCATAAATTTGTCCCATTTGGTGTTTTAGATTATTTTGAACACATGTAAGTGCTGCTTGTCAATAAGACAACACGTCTATGTTTGTTCTTGCTGTTAATTGCAAAAAATATATTCGATTAAAGCTTTATGGTAAACTGCTGTGAGTTTGAGACTTTAACTGCAGGCGCCGTTAAATGCATGTGCACACGAAGCACAGTCAGATTTGTCATCGAAAGTGATACAACACCTGAGCATTAAGCACAAATGACTTTATGACAAACACAGTGCATAATGTAAAGACAGAAGGTGGCGGAGGGTTGAGAACCCCTATGCTGGATTCAGTGACTGGCACACCTCTTCCCTGCTGCTGCAAAGGCTCTGACGGCTCTGACGGCTCACTAGCCACTGTGTGTGCGTGGTAATAGCCATCACGTACACTCATTATAATCATTATAAATATGCTGATCAAACTGAATACACTCTTACAGCAACAACACATGCCAGGCAACACGTTGATATAAACATATCAGATTACAAACAACTCAACGAGCTGTTTAGCACATGCGTATCGCTGCTATTATATTTACACAAACAATATTTTTACTGAGGCGATTTAAACCATAATAAACAATGACACTATCAAACAAATCTACAATGATAAGGAACATGGTTACTTACTAAATTATTAATGCACAGCAATTCCAGACAAAGAAATGACTGACTTTGAGGAAATAAACAATGTGAGGGAAGCTTATAGTGCACTAGACAAGTCTAAACAAGTTTGACCAAGTTGGCACGAGGCAGGCAGTTCTGTACAATTCCGTAACCTATCGGTTAAAATATGTCTCATTTTGATATTGGATCGCTAATGATAACATTATGATATGGCTGCCAATATATTGTGCATCACAATTATTATTTTTTTTAACTCTATAAGTCAATTAATTTTGTTTTATTAAAACTTATTTAGTGTTTAACCAAATAAAGAAACCACTTGAGGGTGAGTAAATGGTGAACAAGTTTAAATATTTAGGTGAACTATCATGTTTTAATACCATGTTTTTAGTTTTTTAATACCATGTCTTTTACTTATGTGTGACTATTTTCTTCACCTCACAGGCAGACAAAATATGGACTGAAGAAGAGACTAGTAAAATGGATGAATTTGCTCTGATGGCAGGTGAGTGTGGAATTTCACAATGCTCAAGAAGAAAAACACTATCTCTATCTGACAAGAAAAATGACTGTTAATAAGTGAAAATAACAATTGATAAATGATTTGTTGTTTTGTTGCTTTTTTTTCAGAGATGAATGTGAACAACGAGCAGGAGCTTTATCGGCAATTGATAAAGGCTTACAATGAAAGAAACTGAACAAGAATTTAGAGAGACTAGGGTGGCTTAAGATTAAACCTGCATGCTCAAGTTTTACATAGAGACAGCCAAAATCCTTTTAAACAGCTTAAAAACTGTGTTGTCTATTTTGTTTTTTAAGAACTTGTTAAATGCATGCCAATTTGTTGTTTATTGATTGAATAACAAATGTCAATATTAGTAGATGTGATTTGGCTCAGATGGTAAGTCTATGAACAGTCAACAGATTTTTTGCACTCTTTAAAAGTCTACAGTTTGATGCGTGTTTTTTTGACATGCATGTTAACAACCAGCATGCGTCAGTTTGTTTCCTTTAAACTACATTCATTTCACCAGATTAGGTTTGGTTGTATTTAGAGAACAATGTCTTTATTCTGGGATTAGCACACTTAATAATGTAAATCATATCTCAAAGCTTTTACCGATGCACAGCTGTTTTTTTTTTTTTTTTTTTTTTTTTACTGGGGCATGTGTGTATGTTTAAAGGTACAAAACAATTACCCATTGCACTTGGAAGCAAATATTTATAGATTTTAAGAATTGTGTGACACTGTAACAGACTGAACTGTAGCCAAGTAGCCTCGCGTCGTGAAGGAAAGTGCAGCCAATCAAACAGTTTGGTGTTCCTTCCGTTTTCAGGACTTTTAAGGCCCTTTTTATTAATCTTTTCAACACAGAGCCCACCTTACTGCTTTTATCAAATCACAAATCGTATGAAATAAAATAATAAAAATATATTTGTATATTGCTGTCTTTTTGATTGGAAGGGCAAGACAGATATTTGGTGGGTTCGTCCCATCCCTGCCCATGCCTATAGGTGGTCCTGTTGTTATTCAACTCTTAAAGTAATAACTCTTCTAATGATCTTAATAATAAACTCTTATTATAACTCTTAGAATGATGTTCCAGGACCAAAATAATCCAGGATATCCTTGACAAAACCACAACAATCTCTGTTCTATCTGATGTTAAACTAACCTGCCAGAAGAAAAGATTACTTCACATTGTTTCTCATCATGTTGTGTGCATCTGTGGAAATTAAGAAAATCATGTAAAAAATACATTGATTTGATTGTCTAAATTGATTAAATTAAACCAATACAATCTCTTAAGGATCTGTTGATTTTGCTATTCAATGCATTTACATAATGAATATAGCCTAGATTAGCTTAATATAAATGAATCGTCATATAAACACACTGAGACTTGAATTAATTCACTCATTCATATGAATTACTTCGACAATATGTTTGTAAAAGGTGATTTACACAAAATGGATCAAATAAAGAAGACGCTTTACAAAATAAAATGCATCAGAGGAAATGGCTTCATGATAACAAGTCACTGGACAGTCTCCTGACTGACTTTAGATTAAATGTCATTAGACAAGAAGCTACTGAATGACAAGGATTTGAACAAAAAGACTTTGCATGAAACAGCCTAAAACAGAAAGGAAATGACTAAACATAAATAGGTATTGGATAAAATGCAGATAAAACTTTGATGAAATGACATCAGAGAAAAAAGGATCAGACATACTGTAGTCATTGAAGAAAAAGGTGTTGGATAAAACATTAAAATAAAATCACTTTGTAAAAAAGGCCATCATAGAAAATGATTTGTATCAAAAAAAGCCATTGGATAAAAGCTTCAGGCATACCACTGTAAAACAATATTTTATTTAAAATAAAGCTTTAACAGAGCTTACAAAACAAAATTGCCCCACAGTCTGCCTGCCAAGAGCACCTAATATATTTTCATTATTAATGTATTAAATGGAAATGGTAGTAAATGTTGTAATACGATCTCTTTGGACATAAAAGAAATAAAATACTCATTGTGCTTTTTGCACAATTCATACAGTATATTAATTAATTTCACAATTTTTAATCCTCATTTTTCACTGTGAAATGCTTATCAAATAATGAGCAGGCCTAAGTTTAATGTGTGTGTATAGTATAGTATAGTAAAATGTGGGAGCCAATAATTGTGTTTTTAGATCAAAAGAGAAGAGAAAGCGGGGCGACGCAGTGGCACAGTAGGTAATGCTGTCGCCTGTGTAAGCGGTAAGCAAAATAATCTTGTTTTTCCTTTAGACATAAGATTATTTTGCTTACCCCATTGGCAGATTATTTTGCTTGTTTTAAGTAAAAACTTACTTCATTTTGGCATATTATTGCTGAAAACAAGACAATATGTTTTGCTTGTCTAGAAAATTCTTGATTTAAGAATTGTGAGATATTTGGACTTGAAACAAGGCAAAAAATCTAAGTAAGAAAAGCATTTTTTGCAGTGTGCACACTGGTGAATCTCGCTCATAATTGTGAAGTGTTTTGGGTGTATGGCCATACACGATAAATGCACCATATAAACACACACATTACAATACATTACATTTTATGAACATTTTTATTAGTTTAAAATGATATATTGTCTGGGTTGGTGTTGTATATTATGCAGCAAAAGCCTTATTTTACAAAGTTCTCTATATATTATTTCTTAAACAATATCTTGTCACAAACTATTAAACTCTCAATAAAAGTCACTGTTAAGCTGCAGAATTAAAAATTTTTTAACATCGAAAGTCGACAAAGCAGAGATCAAGGCAATAAAGCAATTCATAACCCTAAATAAACAGAAAACACAAAATACGGAAACTGTTAATTAACAGATATTTTTTACAGTCTTAACTCAGAAAAAAAGTGGTCAGTGTGGTCAAAAAAGGTTTAACCACAAGAAAAATGTGTCTCCGTGTCTATATGTGATTGTATCGACCACAACACGTCTTAATACCAAGTTTTAAACAGGAACAAAGGTGTTTTCAACATAGACCTATCTGGTGAGAACTAGATTTACCTGTTTGGAAATGCCGCTGTTTTCACTCAGATTCAACAATATAATGTGTTTACATATTGTTTAGTGTTTGTCTGTTTGATTTACTTTTGGAAGATGGGATTTATGGTAAATTAAAAAACAGATTTATATTACATTAAAAATAATGTTAAAAAACTGTATATTATCCATTTAAAGTAAATATAATACATACAGTATAATGTAATCAATTTAATGTATAATATTATTCTACTTTATTCATGCCATACGTTCTACCCAAACAAAAAAAAGTAGAAAAATTTGATACTTATCACCCATAAATGAAAGCAAAACAGACTTGTTGCTTGCGTAAGAGATCTTTCGTGTAGTTAAACCAGTGTGTTGCGTGAGACTGAAATCATTCCTCCCTCTCACTGGATGTGTTTTCATGCTGTTTAGAAAGGAAACATGTCTGCAAGAAAAGGGAGTAAGTTCTATATTTTATATCAGAGTGCATTCTGTGGATTGAGTTTCTTATAACATTTTAAAATGTTGCTGCTTTTCTTTGGTGATGGGCACTGAGATTATATGCACAGTTGGGTGGCTGGAGCTTGCTGAATTCTTCAGTTAGAAAGAACTGCACTTACTCTGTTTCAGGGAACTCCAAAGTGTTCCTGCTTGTGTGAATAGTCTCAAAATGTGGTTTCTTTCAGAGAACAAAATAAAGATGATAAATATGCATGTCAACCTAGGAAATTACAAATATACAATGATAAAATATGTACGTATAAAATATATAGGCTATTACCTGAAGCAATTGTAAACAAGAAAAAACAACAGCTAAATTTTACATCTATAATTGTAGACGTTGACGATTGTAAACGGTTTTATAGTACAGTAGGCCTATATATGTGCAGCTGTGCGCTGATCTAGTTATAATGTATGTATGTCGATCTGAATAGCCTGCAATATTTTCATCAACACACGTAACGCTTATTTATACAAACACGTCTTAAAATGCAAACAGCCGAATGATTCGACAACCACGATTACAATATACAAGCAATGTGATATTTATTCCTAAGGTAAAACTAACCAAATTATAAAACAAACCTAAAATGATAGGAGATGTTGTAACTGAGGGTGCTTTCACACTAGCACTTTTGGTCCGTACCGGGTTCGTTTGACGTCATAGTATGGCACTTTTGGCTAGTGTGAACATGTCTTCTGAACTCGGGTGCGCACCCGCGAACCATACCCGAGTCCGCCTGAAAGATGTGGTCTGTCTGGGGTACGGTTCATGCGAACTCTGGTTCATTTCTGATGTGAATGCAATGGTACCAAACGACAGAAGTGAACCGCCAACTGTACAACAAACTATCGTTTTCATAACGTTCGTTCGTGTGTGTGTTTGTGTGTGTTTGAGAGTGAGAGTAAGAGTGTGTTTTTGCGCCAGATGGACGCATGTCTCTTTTTGTATGTCCAGAACCAAAACCTTCAGTAAAAGCAGAATGAACACGATGTGCGGATGTCTCTCCATTTTGGCGCTTGCTTTCGTGAACGTCGACCGTCGTAAACAAAACTGCAGCTCGATGATGCAAGCGTATCGGGTTCACAAGGAAAAAAGACAGTGTACACACAAATCAACCAAGTAGGTGGCAAAGGGGGACAATCGAACTTGGGTACGTACGGTTCAGGCAATTGAACCAAGTGAGAAAGCGCCCCCAAACATTACAACAGGTTGATCACAGCAGCTTGACATATTCAAAAGACTCCGCTATGATGGAAGCAGCCAAGCTGAAAAGCTTTTATGTGCATTCACACCTGACAATACAAGGTGGAGACAGGGGAGTGTTTGTTTTGGCATACAGAGACGTTATGAACAACAAAATATTGTCACTTAATATTACTTCAGAGAGACAGAGCTGTAGAAATAGATTTGAATCTTTCTTAATTTCTCTTTTCCCTCAGATGACTTCCAGCTTGTTGCCCCTGAAAAAGGTGAAAGAGTTAAGATAAACCCGGGATCTGCTCTCATTGTGTCGTGCCACTTGTCTCCTGCAATCAGTGCGGCTGACATGGAGATTAACTGGTTTAACAAGACAGGATATGTTTGCACATATAAGAAACGAAAAATGACACAGGGAGTTGGCTATGAGGGAAGAGCCAATCTGTTCATCCATGACCTGGTGAGAGGGAATGTGTCCTTAAGAGTGGCAAACTTTACAGAGTCTGATCTGGGAGATTACATGTGCCAGGTCACCAGTCAAAATAAAACACAGCAGATAACTGTCAATGTAACAGAAGAAGGTAAGCACTTCATAACCCCTGTAACTATCTTGCAGTGAGCACGTTCAAGCATACAGTATAAGTAAATGTTAGATTAATTTTCTTTTTACTTTTAATTAAAGTTCTATATTTTGCTGTGTCTGCTTAGTTACCACGTTTGTTTGTATTTGCAGTATCTGCCATTTCTAAGGACCAGCTCTTATTCACAGTGGTAAGACAGCATCATTCTTTCTCCAGGTTACATATTCAAAAAATGCAATACAACATAGAGGCAAAACAGAGCTAGAAAATAAGCAAAAATAAATAAATAAATATAATAATAAATAAATAAATAAATAAATAAATAAATAAACAAATAAATAAATAAATATAATAACAAATAAAGTTATCCATAAGAAGAATGAAAAGAGTTTCCCAGAGATGGGTTGCAGCTGGAAGGGCATCTGCAGCGTAGAACATATGCTGGATGGGTTGGCGGTTCATTCCGCTGTGGCGACCCCAGATTAATAAAGGGGACTAAGCCGAAAAGAATAAATAAAATAATAAAAATAATAATAAATAAAGTAACTAAAACAAATAACAACAATAAAATAATAATTGTGGATGCACTTTGTCCAGAAAAAGTCCAATACTAAAACTTATTTTTATTTGGTATTATTTAGTGATGCCTACACTCACCGGCCACCTTATTAGGTACACCTTACTAGAACCGGGTTGGATCCCCTTTTGCATTCAAAACTGCCTTAATCATTCATAGCATAGATTCAACAAAGTACTAGAAATATTCCTTAGAGATTTTGGTCCATGTTGGCATGATAGCATCACATAGTTGCTGCAGATTTGTCGGCTGCACATCCATGATGTGAATCTCCCTTTCCACCACATCCCAAAGAAGCTCTACTGGATTGAGATCTGGTGAGTGTGGAGGCCATTTGAGAACAGCTAACTCATTGTCATGTTCAAGAAACCAGTCTGAGACGATTTGCTCTTTTTGACTTGGTGCGTTATCCTGCTGGAAGTAACCAACAGAAGATGGGTACACTGTAGTGATAAAGGGATAGACATGGTCAGCAACAATACTCAGGTAGGCTGTGGCGTTGACACAATGCTCAATTGGTACTGATGGAACCAAACTGTGCCAAGAAAATATCCCCCACACCATTACACCACCACCAGCAGCCTGAAACGTTGATACAAGGCAGAATGGATCCATGCTTTCATGTTGTTTATGCTAAATTCTGACCCTGCCATCCTAAGGTCACAGCAGAAATCAAAACTCATCACATCAGGCAACATTTTTCCAATCTTTTATTGTCCCATTTTGGTAAACCTGTGTGAATTGTAGCCTCAGTTTCCTGTTTTTAACTGACAGGAGTGGCACCCTGTGTGGTCTTCTGCTGCTGTAGCCCATCCGCCTCAGGGTTAGACGTGTTGTGCATTCAGAGATTCTTTTCTGCATACCTCGGTTGTAACGAGTGGGTATTTAAGTTACTGTTGGCTTCCTATCAGCTGGAACCAGTCTGGCCATTTTCTCTGAGCTCTGGCATCATCAAGGCATTTGAGCCCACACAACTGCTGCTGACTGGATATTTTCTCTTTTTCTGACCATTCTCTGTAAACCCCAGAGATGGTTGTGAATAAAAATTCCGGTCAATCAGCAGTTTCTGAACAAACATGCCACATTCAAAGTCACTTAAATCAACCTTTCTTCCCCATTCTGATGCTCAGTTTGAACTGCCGCAGATCGTCTTGACCATGTCTACATGCCTAAATGCATTGAGTTGCTGTCCTGTGATTGGTTGATTAGAAATTTGCGTTAACGAGCAGTTGGACAGGTGTGCCTAATAAAGTGGCCAATGAGGTATATTTTCATTTTATTAATTAGCCACAACAGTATGTTGCTTGAGATTCAGAAGTGATAAATGAACATATTACCAAGCATGGTTTGCTATATATGTTACAAAAAACATTCTTATACAGTAATTTAGAAAGAAAAATAGCGAAGTTTGAACTAAAGCCAGCAGGAGCAACAATTTCTGGCGAATACATAAATATCAATACTGTAAGAAATGCAGAAAACTTGACCTACTTTTGTAGCAATTCTTTAATTGTGTCATTGCTAAGAATCTCTGCAACTCATAAACCCATTTCTTAATTAGGATTACACATCGGAAAAAACAAGTGATGGTGAGTTTTACCCAAATGTTTACTTTTACTAAGAAAATCTACTACAAATATAGTAAAAACTGTCTTGTTATATGAATACATGTATGCTTTTTTTCTGTTTTCAGGCCAATCTGGAGATTCACAAAAAAATCTCCTTAAGGTTTGTGAGCGCATTGATTTTTATCTAGTAACACACTGTGTTTAATCATTTTTTTACAACCAGAAGTTATTCATAATTTATTGATGATTAACTTCTGTTGCCTTAGTTTTGTAACAGTAAGCTATTGTTTTTGTAATTTTTTAATTTAATATTAAATATACGGTGGCCAAGAGAGCTTAATGCGCTGCAATTTAAGAAAAAAACATGCAATTACAAAAAATACCAGCAAATATATAAACGATCTTTATCAGTTTGGCAGCACACGTGTTGCAAATTCTCACAACGCAAACAACTCAAGAAACACGCTGCATACTATTAAAGTTTCACATTTAATTATCAGTTTATTTAGACTAATAATTTACAAAAGAGAATGGAATCATGTAATCAAGATAATATAATAAACAACAACAAAAAATACCACCACCTTTAAAAGACCACCAACAACTTCACGGCATAATAACACATGCATATCTCAGCAGTGTCTGTCAGTTTTTGGGTCCCCTTGAAACAGCTCTGTTGTGTTAAGTGGATATTTGCAAGTGTTGTGACAAAATGCAGCGCGTTTCTTTAGTTGTTTGTGTTGTGAGAATTTGCAACGTGTGCTGTCAAACTGATAGAAATTGTTTATTAATTTGCTGGTGTTTTTGTAATTGCATGTGTTTTCTTAAATTGCAGCGTGTTAAGCTCTTTCGGCAACCCTAGGAAATACCCTGAAATTATGTTAGTTAAATTACCTGCCTTAACCCCCAATTTGGTCTTTCAGACAAGCTGAGTTAACTCTTTGACAACTTAATTTTTAAGAATCATTGCATGATGAAAACATCACAACATACCATTCTTTGACATTTTATTATCACTTTTTTTAGGGAGAGGCAAGCTACAGTAAGTTCTCCTCATGGTACAAACTAAGTTATTTAAATTAAAAGATTAATAAATAATTAATGAAAGCTTAAGACATTTATGCCTAATTTAAATGTCAAATACATCTGAAATAAACCAGTTATAGTGCTTAGCATATATAAGTACACCTCTCACAAATCTATCTTTTAATTTCATATTTTTAATAAGAAGCTATACAATATTGTATTTGTGCATATACATAAGATTAGTCAGTACTGAAAAAAATAAAAATTTAAAAATGAGAAAAAATCAAGAGAAGCAAAAAAAAAATAGTAATTGACAAATTTAGTGGAAATTTTGTAGGTCGTAATTTTTTTTTCAATAATTTGCTTGAATTTAATTGTATTATCTTTCAATTTATAAAAAAGTTTGATGACTAAAATATTATTTTAATAAATATATCTGTTTAATAAATCTGTTTTGTTTAAATTCACCTAAATACATTGCCTATATTCCCTGTGAAATGAATAAAAATATTCATATTCAAAATGGGGTGTATTATGTACTCAATTATGCTGAGCACTGTACATGCAATTTTGCAGTGTGCCAAAACATTTTTTGCGGTGCATTTCCTTTACTGAAATCATCTTAAAATACGTGTAGATCTTGCTTGCAAATGCTGATGTTATTTTCTGCATTAAAGAATTATCAGTCCAGTCTACATTTCACTGTGCTTCAGGGAGAGAACCGCACAAGGTTCGTATGCAAATTGATACTATTCATAAATTCAACTATATTGTCCTTTTTTATGCCATAGTCTCATCATTATGTGCAGTTTTTTTCACTTTAGCATAAACAGCAAATGATGACTTACACCTTTTAAAGCATTTATTACTGTGGGCACTCAAATATAGCTGAAGATGTTCTGTTTATTTAAAAGAAAGGAAAGTTTGAGTGCGTCTTTTTTCATGCAGTAAGTCAAATTATGAATGAAAATGCATTATTCTTATCTTAATTAGGATAACAGGACGGAAACTAGAAGTAAAGGTGAGTCAACATAAGTACATTTTCAAACGTTAAAAAAAATAGACAGGCCCAAAATCATTCTTAAAAGATTATTTTTTGTTGTTGTTAAAGAACAACAAGAATCATAACCTGTACAGGCTATATTGTATCTACACTGAAAAAATGTATTCAAAGATGATTCCTTGGATTTACTTAATTCTTTTTATGTTAAGTGGTTGTAAACAATTTATTTGGGCTGAATTTAAACAAACAAACTAAGTTGGACATTATCAACTTCAATTTGTTTAAATTTAACACAAATAAATTGTTTGCAACAGATCTGCTTGCAACAATTTACTCAAAAAGCCATTCACCATGCATCTGTTAATAGTCATACGTGTACATGTTTTAATGTGTGGATTTTTAAGTTGATTTACATCGCTGAGAAATAATTGTTGTTTCAATGATAAAAATAAGTGTCTGTGCTGCTTAAAAAAACCTATTTCAGCTTAAAAAAACAAATTAGTATGAGTTATTTCAAGATGACTACAAATTTAAAGGCAACACAAATTTTTACTGTACTGAAACATATATATTTTTGGAAACTTCCAAGATGGTATTGTAAACAAGCAATACATTTTAAAACGTTTCTCTCTGTTCCACATATAGGTACCTTTCAGCTGGTTGTTCCCAGCACAGCAGAGACTGAGGTATCTTTGGGGTCTGATTTGGTTATTCCTTGTCAACTGTCTCCTGAAATCAACGCTGTGGACATGGAGATCAGCTGGTCTAAAGATGCAGACTGTGTTTGCCTGTATAAAGACAGGAAGATCACAGAAGGGGTTTGGTTCAAGGACAGAGTGAGTCTGTTCTTCACTCACAAACTTAAAAAAGGAGACGTGTCCTTGAGACTGAAAAACTTCAGACAGTCAGATATTGGAAATTACCACTGTCAGGTAATCAATGCCGACAGAAAAGAAGAGATAACTGTGAGAGGTGAGCAGTCCTTTTACTGTTGGTTATGCAGTATTCCTGAACTTCCACAATAAGAAATAAACAATGTTGTTGGTAGTGAGAGTGAATCCTGGCGTCCAACCAGTGAATCTATCTCCAGTACATCAATATGTCCCATCAATGCTACATGAGGTAAGAGAACATAACATGTTCCTTCATATTATCTTTTGCTTTCAGTAATATTCAGATATTAACCAGAATCTGTAATTAAAAATTTAAAAAGATTTAAAAACTTAATCCAAATAGTTTGACTAATCTTTATGTAATAATCTAAATCAGGGGTGCCCAAACCTTTTATGAAGGGCCAAAAACCAAACTTTATTGAGGCTAGTGGGCCAACGGTAAATACAGTTGCATAGGTATTTTCCTAATTTATTTAATAATGTTTTAAAAAGATCTAAAACATTAATTTATATTAACTAATACAGTTTTTTTTTTTTTTACATTTTATAATGAACTTATTATTAAAAACAAAAACAATCTCATTTATAACATTATGGAGTTACATTAGTTTTTGTCCTGATTTGCTTGCAGATGTCTTGCATATTCTTCTATTTGTCGAGTGACAGTAAATAAGTTTTGCAAACTTAGAATTATTTATTTAAAATTGACGAACTCTGTTAAAGGCATTCACCCCATCACTCTTCATCTTTCTCAGATGGGATGGTGGGCCAAATCAAAGGTTACAATGGGCCAACTTTAGCCCGTGGGGCATGGACCCTACTTTAGGCATCTCTGATCTTAATTCTTTCAGATCGTTAATTTCTTTCGCTTTCTAAAAGCTGGTTATTTCATGTGATTATGCTTTTTGCTCATATTCACTTATGTTTGTAGACGTTTCTCTACTAGATGTGCCTTATTTTGCTTCTCAGATTTTCTGAGCCTTCATTGTTGGAACTTATTGTTTTCCTTTTGCTTTATTGTATAATTTGGCATGCACCACCTCCAGATAGTGACAAATGATTGTTGTTATAATAAGCAGTAATAGCAGTAGAAGTAGAGGAGACTGATTTAATCTGAATACTCAGAAATAAATACAGGACAGTTGGTAATACAGGCCAGACAAAGTAAATTTTATATATATATATATATATATATATATATATATATATATATATATATATATATATATATATATATATATATATATATATTATACTGTAAATCTCATTTTTTTCATTTCATCTTAGGGTACAAATACAAGAGAAGCAAATGACAGTAAGTGTTTCTTTATTTAATTAGATATGACGATCACCTCGGTGGTGTTAATCTTGCTTTATGATGTTAATGTTTTTCTTACTTTCTAAATTATAGGATTATCGAGGCATACTTCACATCATAATAAAGCAGATAAGAAACAGCATGATGTATGTGTGCACATAATGCATGTGTTTACACTGATTTCATTAGGTCTTGCACCTTTTTTTTAAAACAAATAAAGCATACATCAATTCATTATCTATTATTACATTATTTTACACTATTATGTTGTTACATTTCCACAAATTGACCTCATGTTGTGAATCTTTTGTAAACAATCACTGTGAAATGAACGCTTGGGAGCTATGTTGGACTTACAAGACTAGTAACTTATGCTGTGTTTTTCTCTAAATTAGAATTGCAGTGAAAGTGTCTCGAGCAATGGTAAGTTTTCTTTAAATAATTAAAGCTCCATTTCCAATTTCCACTTATTTTGCACCAACAAAGAATGAAAAGTTAAGTAAACATGAACAAAGTGCTATGTATGAATCAAATTTTCTCTTTTGTATGTCACAGATTTTGAACTCGTTATTCCCCAAATTACTGAAGAAGCAAAGGTTTCTCTGGGGTCTGAATTGACTGTTCCTTGTTACTCGTCTCCTGAAATCTGCGCCACTGCCATGCAGATCAGATGGTTTAAGGAGACCGACTGTGTTTGTGTCTACAAGAACACACAGATGACTGAGGGCAGAGGCTATAAAGACAGAGTTAGTCTGGACAGTCGAGAGCTCGAGAGAGGAAATGTGTCTGTACATCTGAGAAACTTCAGTGTTTCAGATGTTGGAGATTATCACTGTCAGGTCAGCAGTGGAGGCAGAACACAACACATTACTGTAGGAGGTGAGCATTCTGTAGCAATGCCTCTTATAGACGTAGTTACAGTAGTTATCTAACACCACACATTTCACACAGACCTACAGTATTTATGCTTCATTTATTGTCTTTTAGTGAGGATAAAACCTGAATTCCAGTCTGTGAGTCAATCACCAGCAAGTCAAGGTCAAAGTGTTCAGCTAGTGCTGTTTCAAGTAAGACATTTATTTGATCTAAAATGACCATCTTCAAAAGTGGCTTGAGTGTTTTTTTTTTTTTGTGCTGCGTGGTAGGGCTGAACGATATTGGAAAAATTTGACATTACAATATTATTCTTTGTCTGCAACATATATTGCAATATAAAAACAATTTCACCAAAAGACTTAAGTATCTTTATTTGGCAAGTCATTCATTTAAATATATATGGATGATTGGAGTGATAGAAACACAATAAAGCTGCGGCCACACTGCACATTTCTTACCACAGACTTCCATTTATAAGCATGTGAAAGTTTAAGCTTGGTGAACTCTGTTCAGTGAAATCACATCACATGATTGTGTGAGACCAATCGAAGATCAAAATATGACCTCTCTGGACAGAAATTTAAGCATGGACCAGTTGCTTGCTTTTTTTTTTTTTATGTATAATTATCTTGTTTAATCCCTTCCCTTTTCACATCACCATACTACAGAATTTTGCTCGCTCAAACTAAAATAAATAAATAAATAATAAAAATTTTTAAAATCTTACATTACTAATAGTTTCCTTCGTTGACTTTACACACCTGAAACTTGCCTACAGCACTTATTCATTGTTGCTCTTATAGTTGTGTAAATTGCTTCCTTGTCCTCATTTGTAAGTTGTTTTGGATAAAAGCGTCTGTTAAATGACTAAATGTAAATGTTACCGCAGCATTAGTCTCTTTATTAAATTTCCTGATGCTAAAATAGGATCTAAATCCCTCCTATTTTCAGGCCGACCGCAACGTGACGTTGGAGTGCGGTTTCCCTGCCCACCGAATTGATTAACAGCTGCAAATTAACATGTCTCCATAGTAACATGTATAATCATATCAACAAGATAGGATGTGCACCAAGCAACCGGGATAAAAAGATCTGTTTAGCTCTATGTGATCATCAATCATCATCAAATGTAATCAAGAACGAGTTTTACAACTTTAAAAGTTTTTAAAACAGTGCATGTTTGTTATGACTTATCATAAATCTTGAAAAAATGGTAAAATAAGTGCTTTTAATATTCTGTGGGAGGTGTAGGACCAAGGAAAGTCCATCAAATACAGATGTTCGGTCCGAACATTATGATTGGCTGTCTGCCTGTCAGAACATATTGCATACCTCTGCGCTCTGCTCATGCAGAAAGAACTATATCATTGGTACATTCACGTATGCGGGTCAGACAGGGGATGGCAGGCTAACATCAACAACACCTTTTCATTTCTTTTCCTTTTTTAAAGTTTGTTATTTTAATTACTAACTGTTCTATAAAGATTTCTTGCTGGTGAAAGCTACATGATGTGTTGTATGATGTTTTCTAGTGTGCAGTTTTCATGTGTTCAGGAAGTGTGGATTTGATTGGCGATTTGCAGGGTCAGAAGTTGTCTTTAAGTGCTATCAGGCTATCATTAGCATTTTCCCCAGATCTCTTATTGCACCTTTAAATGAAAAATCTGAACAAAACCAAAGAAATTAAAGGATTTTTTTCTGTGTTTATTGATTAACTATTATTTTCTTCACCTTACAGACTGACAAAATATTGACTCTGGAGGAATCGCTCAAAATGGATGAATCTGTTTTAATGGGAGGTGAGTTTCATTTGAAGTTTCATCAAGTGCATAACTAATAAAGTCTCTTATTTATTTATTTATTCATTTATTTATTTATTTTTAGAGATGAGAGTGAACAATGAGCAAGAGCTTTACCAAATGTTGATCAGGGCTTACAGCGAAAGAGACCAACAACTGGAAAGAACTGAACAGGAGTTGAGAGAGACCAGAATGGATTTGGACAGAGTCTTAAAACTCAACCCTCGTGCTCAGTTTTTAGACAGAGACAGACAAAATCCTTTTTAAAAGCCAGGAAATATGCTGTCTGATTCATGACATTTCTTAGAACATATTTCAATCAATCAGTTTTTTTGGTAACACTTTACAATAAGGTTCATTAGTTAATTCATTTACTAACATGAACTAATCATGAACAACACATGTACAGCATTTATTAATCATAACTGAACATTTACTAATGCATTATTAACATTCAAGTCCATGCTTGTTAACATTAGTTAATGCACCATGAGTTAACATGAACTAACAATGAACTACTGTATTTTCATTAACTAACGTTAACTAACATGAACAAATACAGTAGTAAATGTATTTTTCATTGTTTGTTCATGTTAGTAAATGCATTAATTAACATTAACTAATAAACCTTCTTGTAAAGTGTGACCGTTTTTTTTTTCTTTAGAGTTGAAATTACAATATTACTATATGTTTAACTAACCACAAACTATATAAATTACTGTGATAAATATTCATTCATTTATAAGTATTCATTAATGAACTATGCCTTATGGTTCACTGTATATATAGTATAGAGCAGGGGTGCCCAAACTCAGTTCTAGAGGGCCGGTGTCCTGCAAAGTTTAGTTCCAACTCCAGTCGGACACACCTAGGCTAACTAATCAAGCTTTTAAGCTGCGGTCACACTGGAATTTCTCCATATTGACTTCCATTTACAGTATATGCACAAGACTGCGTCAGACTGGAAACGCAAGGTTCTGCGGCAAGTTTCGCAGTTCGCTGCGTTGGAAAGTTCAAGCTTGGTGAACTCTGACCTTTGAAATCGCATCACATGATTGCGTGAGAACAATCGAAGATCAAAACATGACCTCTCTGGACACAAATTTAAAATATAGTTTAATCACCTGCTTTTTCAATGTCTAATCATCTTGTTCAATCCCGCCCCTTTTCCCAGTGCCGTACTACAGATATTTGTGACCACAGCTTTAGTAGGCTTTCTAGAAACATCTGTGCAGGTGTGTTGAGGCAGGTTTGGAGCTAAAATAAGCAGGGCACTCTCGGTATAGATCATAGGTCTCGAACTCGATTTCTGGAAGGTCGCAGCTCTGCCTCCTACTAATCAAGGTGTTTAAGACTACTAAAGACTATTAAGCAGGAGTGAGTTGAAGGTGGTTGGAGCTAAACTATGTAGAGCCCTCCAGGAACTGAGTTTGAGACCACTGGTATAGAGTTCTTGTTGCTTATTGAATATTCGATTTGTTTTTGTAATTGTGCTTGTCTTTCATCAGATGTGAGGATTTATTATGTGAAAATGCCATATATATATTATAGATTTTGTAAAGTTGAAACGCTGGAAATTATTATGTTTTAAGCTAAAGCCTGTATCATTTTGAATTAATATATTTTCTATGAAGATTGTTTATTAAAGCAAAATTTATGTACCCGTTTTCTGAATACAAGTGTGCTTAAATGTTTTAAACTGTAATTTTTTTGTTTGTACTAACCCAAATTTTAAATATTTCACAAAAATATTTTACACATAAATCAAGGGAGTTGAATTTATTAAAAAAAAAAACTTTTTCAAAGGTTTACATGTATTCTTAATAAACTATTAAATTATGTGTGTTTTTAATGACAGATCCAGGGAGTGAAAACTTTTGAACAAAATGAAGATGTAAATTGAGTTTAATTTGCGTTAATATCTTATTATTGTTATTATATTTTTTACTTTTTGTAAACAGTTCGCCAAAACCCTGTTTAAATAAACGACATATGCAAATACTTTAGCAAAAACAATGCCTATTCTTCACTAAATCTTATAAATGTTCCTTTCCGGTGTATTTTGTAACCATATAGGCCTTGAATTGCCCCAAGCATGTAAGTGACCCAATGGATTGACAGTGTTTGCTAATTCTACTTATCAACAAAAAAGTTTTAAAGACTAATTTAATGAATTCGACCATTTACTAGTTGTGATTCGGTCTTTACAGAACGACAGTGCCCCCGCGTGGAGACAGTGATATAGTAGAGCCTTTCATACTTTTTTTGAAAAAAATAAAAAAATAAAAAACATAAGAAAAATAAACCTAGTACTACCAACTTCTAATGACCCTCAACGAGCTTATGTGTTAAAATGAGTTAAAAAGTTTGTCTACATATTTTACGTATTAAACTGACCCAGTCAGTGTAAATATTATTGTAATAATATAATAATAATAGTTAATTAAATTGTTATACTATTCATGAAAAAAAAATCCAGTTAAAACTTATATTTTACTCTATAAATCAGGGGTCACCAATCTCGGTCCTGAAGGGCCGGTTTCCCTGCAGGGTTTAGCTCTAATTTGTCTCATCACACCCTTGGTGTTTCAAGTATACATAGTAAGACCTTGATTAGCTAGTTCATGTGTGTTTGATTAGGAGAGAGGGAGAGAGAGAGAGAGAGAGAGAGAGAGAGAGAGAGAGAGAGAGAGAGAGAGAGAATAATAATAGAACGGCAGCGCCCTCTTATGGACAGCAGTAGTGCAGCATTTTTGCAACGTGCTCTCAAGAGGCGCTACTGAGAATAAACAGGATTAAGTCGGTGGCAGTGTTTTCTTGCAATACTAAACAATACAGCAAAACTAATATTGCAATCGACATTTTAAGTAAGAAAAGTGCCCAGCTGATTCATGTGCAAAACATACGAAGTAGTTGGTGAATAGAATCGTATCTTGTTTAAAAAATGAGGATGTGTCACATGTGTAGAGAATACTGATCTTGAATCAGCAAGCCTATATGCAGACTTCCTTTACACTGAAGCTTGCACTGATCTTGTATGTGTGTGTGAGTAATTTTGAGAGACTGTGCGATACAATGGAGGATTTGGCAGAATATCATGGGTCAATCAGTAAGAAGCAGGCAGAAGACATCCTGTGCTCCACGGGCAGAGATGGCAGCTATCTGATCAGAGACAGTCTGAGCTCCGCCGGCGCTTACTGCGTGTGTGTGCTGTGAGTAAAACATCTGCTGTGTACAAAGATCTGATAAGCGTCTTTAAAAGAGCTGTTTTACGAACAGTCTAAATAATAGAAAAGAAAGATCCAGTTATATTATTGGCGTCTATTTGACTGGAGACACAGGTATAGCACTTGAGAAAATTATCCAGGTCTTCTTGATGTAAACAACACTGATCTAACAGACGTCTCCGTGATGTGTGCTCAGATTATGTGCAGATAGCGTGTAAACAGTGTTTTTCGTTTGTTTACAACTTGTGAATTACATAATGGGACCTGATCTCTGCTCTGTCGACTTTTGATGTTGATAATTCAACTCTACAGTTTAACAAACTGATTTTTATTGACATTTAAGCAGTTTGACATAATGTATAAGAAAGAATATATAGAAAAATCAGTAGCCTAAATGTAAAATAGGCGAACAGAAGTGGCGGTGACCTGACATTTTATCCTACCCATCAGATGCTACCAACATTGTATTTGAATCGTTCTGAGGTTGAGGTTAGGGATTATGTAGGTTAGGGTGATATACAGCTTCATATCACACTGCTCTACATTAAAATTTACACTGGTAGCAAAATCTGACGAGTAGCATAGTGCATCATCAAAATGTGCTACCTACTTTTTGAATGGGAGGTAGGACAAGCTGACAAGGTTGGAAAAATGGCATGTTCGGTGGTTTAAACCTGGAATGGGTCAGTTGGCATGTCTGTTTAAAGTTTGCATGTTTGCATGTGGGCTTCCTCTGGGCTCAAAGATATGCAGCATAGGTGAACTGGGTAGGCTAAATTGTCCGCAGTACATGTGTGTGTGAATGAGAGTGTATGGGTGTTTCCCATTGATTGGGTTGCCGCTGGAAGGGTATCCACATATGCTGGATAAGTTGGCGGTTCATTCCACTGTGGCAACCCCTGATTAATAAAGGGACTGAGCCAAAAGGAAAAAGAATAAATAAATGAATGAATGAAAACAACAGATAATGTACTGGCATTTTGGGAGGCTGGGTGGACAGGAGACATGAAATTTAGGGAAATTTTATTAAAGAAATTGAGCTCAAATTATTCCTTAGGTGATGCTGAAAACAAAAATATCCCATATGCCATAATTGCCAAAACCTTGTCCGCCATTTTGAATTTGAAAGTACTTGTTGGGGCATGTAGGGAGGATTCTTCTGTTTTTGGAAGGGTATGAAAACTAACCAACTGTAAAGTTGCTTAGGAAAGCAGTTGCTAAAGGAATTAATCAATGTGCATATTGTTTTCTCCTGTCCATTCAATGTAAATTATGGACAGAACTATTTACTGAATTGGGGATTGTGTCCTACTATAAAGCATTTAAACAGTCTGTGTTGCCAGATGAGGGGGATTAAAACATCAGCACTATGTAACACAAACAGGGCAAAAGTAACAGGAGGGAGAGATAGAATTCAACTGCCATTAATTGGACATTTTCTATGACCAAAAACAATAACCAGATAAATATTGGACATGCATTTGAAAGATTCTGTTGTTGTCATCAATCTGGCAATCTGAATCTGAGTGTCAGCTATTTACAATCTGTGTAAATCTCCAGGTGTGATGGATGGGTTTACACCTACAGAATTTTCAATAAGGGCGGCCTCTGGACAATAGAGGTATGTTTTACATTTCTTTAAGTAAATCCCAAATAAGTTTGCAAGTTCATTAACCCTTTAACTACCCCATCAATAAATAAATGTTTGGATTGCATTTTAGGCATTTAGGCAACTCCTAATGTTGCTAATTATGTTTCAACACATGCCATAATTTATTAAATTTACAAAATCACCTTTATTTTTTGGAGTATGCCAGGTATGCATGCATTTCATGTTCTCATTTAACATGCTTCCTTGTTTTGTTTTGTTTTTCACCAAAATTAAGTGTAGTAGTGCAACAGGATTATGTTTTTTTTTTTTTTTGTAAACCAACAATGCTGTGTGTGTAAGCCTTTATTTTAAACAGTCAAAACATGGTCAACCATTTGGTGGAGGGGCAGTCAAAGGGTTAACCAGTATAATCTTATTAGTCACAACTGTGTTATTTCTGGAAGATCTACAATTAGTTTTTGGCCATGAGCAACAACAACAAAACATTTTAAAATGCATAAAAAAAAGATTGTTTTGATTAACTTATATCAATGTCACAAGATCAGAATAAATACTTCCTCATTGCACATTTAAAAGATGCAATATAAATGCAGTTGAGACTATGTTGTTTCCTGTTAAAGCTGCTTGCTAAATTAATGACTTGTCATTTTCAGACAAAACGAGAAGAGCGCTGCTATGTTTAAGTACACTGCTGACTTTTTCTCTCCTGTTTGTGGTCACTGTGTTGCATGCATTTATAGCCTGACTCGTGTACATCTCTGCCCTTTCATATCACCCACACATACAGGCATCAAAGCAATGGCAAGATGTGAAACTTCAAAACACAGATAAACATATATAGTTCAAAAGGGTAAACTGCTTGTTAAGCTGCTTAGAACATTAATAGGGCAAAATAATTTCATGCTTAACACCACTGTTTCCAGCAGCTTATGAACGTCAACTACCAGCCACTAGAAGAAAGTCAAACAATTCTTCATGACAGACAAATCTTTATGCCTGAGTGACATGCTACTGTCTGAATGTTATATACGGGGGTTGGACAAAAGAACTGAAACACTGGCCAATTAAGTGTTGGAGGTTTCATGGCTAAATTTAACCAGCCTCGTGGACATTGATGGCATCTTCCAATAGTAAGACCAAAGTGGGAAAGTTTAATTTCTGTAGAGTTTAAAAGAGGACATTGTTGGTGCACATCTTGCATAGATATATACACTAGATATCGCATACGGACCCTGAGTATGAGTCACCGCAGACACATTTGTACAATGCTACCAGGACAAAAGTCATTCAACCGCACTAGTTAAAACTACAGCCAATCTGAAGATGCTGGTCTTTTGCGCTGTGTATGGGGTATAGTTATGAGAAAACAAAGCACAAAAGCAGAACTTTTTATAAGTAAGATTTAGTTTTTTTTTTTTTAGGTTTTCATGTTACAAACTTTTGTTAAAAAAGTAACGTTATTGATGATAATATGGTCACTTACTGCACTGACCATAAGACAAAGTAGCACTTGCACTTATTAATAGGCTAATGTTAATTTTGTAGAATAAAACAAGCAAACAATGTAAATGAAAATGACAACTAGAAGCTGCGGTGCTAGAAACTTGTTCACTTAGCCGACAATAATACAAGTTGTTCATAACGACAATTCACTCACAAACAAATCGCATCCTCCGTTAGAATTAGATCAAATTTAACAGAGGGAGGATGATACATTTCAATTCACACACACAAATGCTCTTTGTCAGCAATGCCCTTGCGATTGCTCATCTACTAATGAAGAAAAGTAATTTCAAATGATAATTTTTACAATATTAAAAATACATTTGCATACTGACCATCGGGAAAAATCCCAATCATAGATATATGTATATGTGTATGTATCTCTGGCTCTGGATGGCCTGTCTTCCACTACACTTTGGTCCCACATTCATTTCAAAGGAGCGCTACCCTTTATTAAAATGCCGGCTCTGTTGACATGTTCCAATAGCGTAGGTAACATCTAATGTAAATATCTATGCACATCTCGCTGGCGCATCGGTGGTCAAGAAAGCAAGTCTTTGTGATGTATCTAGAGCCACGGTATCAATGGTAATGTCAGCATACCACCATGAAGGATGAACCACATCCAACAGGAGTAACTGTGGATGCAAGAGGAAGCTGTCTGAAAGGAATGTACCGGATTGTATCAATAAAATGTAAAAACCACAGCTGCCCAACTCACTGAAGAATTAAATGTGCACTTTAACTCTCTAGTTTCCACCAAAACTGTTGATTGGGAGCCCCATAGGGTCAATATACATGGCCAGGCAAACCTTTGGACACTCGTGGCAATGCCAAGCAAAAATCTCTGGCTCTGGACAATCTAAAACATATATTTTTCTCTGATGAGTCCACCTTCACTGCATTTCCTACATCCGGGAGTTATGGTGCGGAGAAGCCCCAAAGAAGAATACCACCCAGACTGTTGCAAGCCCAGAGTAAAGCATGGGGGTGGATTAATGATGGTTTGGGCTGCAATATCATGGCATTCCCTATGTTCAATACTTGTGCTAGATGGGCGCATTACTGCCAAGGACTTTTGAACCATTCTGGATGACCATGGACACCCAATGGTTCAAACATTGCATCCTGATTGAGATGCCGTGTATCAGGATAATAATAATAATAATAGTAATAATAATAATAATAATTCCTTACATTTATATAGCGCTTTTCTAGACACTCAAAGCGCTTTCACACATTTTTGGGGGAATCTCCTTAACCACCACCATTGTGCAGCATCCACTAGGATGGTGCGATGGCAGCCATATTGTGCCAGACCGCACACCAAGCACAGGCTGATTGGTGTAGAGGAGACAGAGTGATGAAGCCAATTATAATATAGGGATGGTTAGGAGGCCACGATAGACAGAGGCCAGTGGGCAGATTTGGCCAGGATGCCAAGGTTAAACCCCTACTCTTTTTCGATGGACATCCTGGGATTTTTTACGACCACAGACAGTCAGGACCTCAGTTTAACATCTCATACAAAAGATGGCACTCACTGAGCAGTATAGCATCCCCAGCAATATACTGGGGCATTAGGACCCACACAGACCACAGGTTGGCAGTACCCTGCTGGTCTCACTAACACCTCTTCCGGCAGCAACCCAGCTTTCCCAAGAGGTCTCCCATCCAGGTACTGACCTGGCGCAGCCCTGCTTAGCTTCAGTTTGATGACCATGTGAGAGTTGCAGAAAGCTAGCTGCCGGCAAGAAAATGCATCAGAGCAAGACTCATGACAGAGTGGTTTAATGAACAAGTGAAGTTGAACATCTATGTCCTGCACAGTCACCAGATCTAAATATTATTGAACCATTTTGGGGTGTTTTGGAGGAGCGAGTCAGGAAACTTTTTCCTCTACTAACAGCATGTAGTGACCTGGACACTATTTTGCAAGAATAATATCTTTCTGGCCACTATGCAGGAAATTTATTTGGAAAGGTATTCGTCACTATACTTCACAGCAAGAAAGTCGCTGGTTTGAGCCTCCGCTGGGTCAGTTGGCATTTCTGTGTGGAGTTTGCATGTTCTCCTTGCGTTTGCGTGGGTTTCCTCCGGGTGCTTCGGTGTCCTCCCCAGTCAAAAGACATGTGGATAGGTGAATTGGGTAGGCTAAATTGTTCAAAGTGTATGAGTGTGAATGAGAGTGTATAGATGTTTCCCAGAGATGGGTTGCTGCTGAAAGGGCATCCGCTGCGTAAAACATATGACCCCAGATTAACAAAGGGACTAAGCAGAAAAGAAAATGAATGAAGATGAATCAATGCTGTTTTACCAGCAAAAGGAGGCCCTAAGTCATAATTCGTAATGAATTAATGTAATCTAAAACCAGAAGTTTCAGTTTTATTGTCCAACCTCTATATATGCTTGTAGATTCAGGCAGTACATTTCTTAGAGTTACCAAGACTTTTATACTGTACTATACAATATTTTTTCATTTTTTTCAGATGGCTCCTGGAATGAAGGAACGACTCTTTAGAAATGTCAGTAACCTCATTGCTGCCTTTAAGATGCCAGACCAAGGCATCACTTTTCCTCTTCTGTATCCTGTGAACAAACCTAAACATTAACACACTTGAAGTTGACACTTCAAAAACTGTAAATTGCTGTAAAAGTATATTTAAGCTTGGAGAATATGTGAGGAGATGAGCCAAATAACTAAAAATAAATGATTAATCAGATTAATCATGTAAAATATTAAAGTAATAACAGCAATTGTAATGAACAGAATGTATGTACAGTATTAAAACATGATATCAAATTTTAATGAAACGTCAGATGTCTGCAAACACACTGTAAAGACAAAATTATTTTGAATGAAAATAATGTATTTTGATATTAAAATGAGACAAAAGAGTTGACATGTTCTATTTTTTAAAAATATTTGTGATTGTTTTAGCTAACATAATCAACCAGCTTTTGAATGCTGCAGCTTATGTTTCCGGTAACACATACTGATTATTAATAAATCACAAAAGAAAGAGTTAAATTTGCATTTTTATTTATAAAAGGCCACTGCCCAAAGTACTTGTTTTTAAATAGGCATGTTTAACAAACTGCATTAATCTGTGTACATAAAGCCTATCAGCCAAATATACACCACAGGAACTCGTTTGGCCAAAGAGAGGACACTGAAGTTTGTTTTTTTTAAGTTCTTTGTAGAGAGGAAGATGATTTGATCATGGAAAAAATTACATATTCCTTTTTCACTTCAGCGATGATTGTGATTATGACAAAGATGCAAACTAAGATAAAAAAAAAAATATTTCCGCCACAATTTTTTTTTTCATCGTGCAACATAATCGTACTTCAGTTGAAATTTGCAAAATGTCGGAAACCAAATGTGCCTTCAGAGCAACTCTCTCACAAATCTGTCAAATATTTGCACTCTCTAAAAATTCAGTCTAGCGCGTTTCTCTCTTCACCTTATATTCAGTGCAAATATATATCTCAGATTAAGGTTACAAAGCTTGATGGTACAGCATATCCACAGAATTCACAAGAAAATACATTTACTCCTAATTCTCTTGAGTGTCATGTATAAATAGTCCAGTATCTATAAACAGTCTACAATAGTCCATTAATGATGTACAAGTCCATATCAAGAGTCCTACACACAGAACGTCTACCCACAGTGCTGCAGACTTTAATAGTTTGGAAAAGACAAAAATACCCATCTTCAGCAGGTGATTCTTTCATTTCCCTACACATCTTCCTCCTCAGGCCTCCCACGAGTTTCGAGAGGGATCAAAGAAAAAAAAAAGGACCTGTCAAAGTATTGGAGGAATCCAAAACGCTGGAGCTCTGACACTTGTTTCGAAAGCGAAATGACAAACACGTGAAGTGAGTTTCACATTAAGTGCACAGCAAAAACAAAAGCAACAGAAAATGTGCAAAATCACATGAGAATAAATAAAAGAGAGCAGCATATTAACTGTAAACAGGGATGCCACGGTGTTTATATCCTGGGGGATGTTTACAAGAATTCACCTCACAGGCATTAGCATTCACGTTTTTTTGGCTCCCGCTAGCCAAACCCCACCACATCAAAACATAAATAAATACTAACTAAAACAAGACACTTAAAACTAAGGCATGTGATGAATACTGAAGTATGAATGATATGTCTAAGCCCGTTTCATGTGATCGTTTCTAGCAGACCAGGAAGGCACAATTTCCACATACACATTTTTTTTTTTGATTTCTACATTTGAAAAAACAAAAACAAACAAAAATTAACTGTACAGTTAGAGTAAAAAAAATGGACACATTTGTCTTCCACAGCAGCGGTGTAATTCTCTCAGCTTCGTCAACACTGATTAAGCAGAAACAACACAAGATGGTGGTGAGCTCTTGCCAAGACTCCAAACACTGTGAATCTCTTGCAGCCCGAGGGGTTCAGTTTTGTGACACTTTCGAGTCAGACGCTTCTCAAAGCGCTTGTGAATTTGACAGTCACAGAGCTCCATTTCTGGAAGGTCATTTGAACTGTGAGGGCTCTGAAAGCCTTCTACGTAAATCCCAGAATGCTGACAATTTGGAGAGAAACATTCAACAGAGCACTCAAGAAAGCCCCTCAGGTTTGCAAGATTTAATGCCATTACCAGTTTGACTCAACATTCCCATTAAGTCGTATGATTACTGTACACGCTCAAGTGAGAGAATCAGCATGTGTAGAGATGAAGACTCTTTAATGCATGTCTAGAACAGTCACAGATCAGTCGTTCTCTGTGTCCTCAGATTGGCAAGCAAGGCTTGTTCTCTAGTAAGAACGGTTAAGCCACTGTAAAACAAGAAAGACTTCCAACGAAATCGACCAAACTAAATTGAAAAACAGGAATCTGAACTTGCTAAGAGTGCATCAACGAATGCAAAATCAAAAACAATACCATCATTTGTCACATTTTAAAGGCAATAGAGTCTTTCTCGCTTTGTTTGGTTGGGGTTCTAGAAAAAGCTGAAGAGATATGTGGTAGCTCCGAGTGTATAAAAGGGTGTGTGGGCGTGTGGAGGTGTGCTGATGTGCCGCTGTTACCTGCGACCAGTTTCCACATGTCTGATCAGGTGAATGTTGAAGGGGCTGTCTGCTAGCTCAGGGTGTTGTTCAACAGGCAGAGCGTAAAAGCCATCATACCCTGAGACGTGGCCCTCTGCGATGAGCTCATCCTTTTCCTTATCAGTCCATGCCAAACTTCCACCATCCCCCTCCAGGACCCTCTTCTGCTCCCGCAGCCACGCCCCTTGCACAGCTCGTATTCGCGCTGCATCCAGCACGCGTGTGCGCTCTTCCTCTGGTGATGCTCCGTAACGGATGTTAAAGCTAAGCGCTCCCTGCTGAAGCACAATGTCAGCGAAACGCCGCATTTCCCCTCCAACCATAGCGCTGATTTGGGACACTGAGACGTTTACGCCATTCTCCAACACTCTAACTCCGCCTCCAGCTCCGCCCCCTGCCACTCCCAGATCTGCCTCCAGAGGACCAGCCTTGGTGAAATAGTGGGTGTCACGGCCTTCTACTGTGAAATGAAGGCCACGCAGATATATGGCACTGTTCAGTACTGCTGCCACACGGCGACTATCCTCACTCGCCACACCGATGATCTCAGTCGCCACCACTCCATCACGAATAGCGAATTTCACACCTTTGCCAAAAATTGAAGATAGGGCAGAGAAAATTGGCCTGCGGCCTTGTCGGCCTCCAATTTTCCCATTGGCTGGTGTCATGGGGAGGCGATCCAATGAAATGAAGTTTTTCAAGTTCTTCTGAAGGTCACACTGGATGCCGAGCACAATCTGAGGTAGGAGGAAATGTTAGGAAACAGTTATTGTTTGATTAGTGCTAAATATTAAGGCCCAATCCCAATTCTATTTTTGTACCCCTACCCTTTCCCCATTGGCCCTTGAAACAGAGTGTGAAGGGCTTCAAAATTTACCCATAAGAAATGGGACACCAATATAGCACCTGCACACGTCATCATATATCATTGTGAGCTCTTCATATGAGATCAGAGGATCGCCATTGCTCTAGTTATTCCATTTGCTTTCATTTTTGGTATTTATCTTGAGGAAATCACTGAAGGGATATATCATGTTATCATAACGATCTAAGATGGCAATAAGATCGTAACTGTACTGTGCATTTAGGCCGTACTCACACTAGGTACAGTTGCCTCAAACCGGGCCAAAGCACGCTTGTCCCCCCTCCCGTCTCCCCCGATGGCCCGCGCTCACACCACAAACGGGCCTCGGCACCCTTACGTCATCGCTGCTGCGCTGTTCAGTGAGAAGCGCTCTCATACTCAGCAGCACAGTGGAGATTTCTTTAGTTATATCGTTTTAGTCGTTTGATATTCAGTGACATGCAGTCAAATGTTTCGCCAAACAGTCCTTAGGGATGCGGTGACACGCAGTCAGATATTTCGCTGAACAGATCCGCCACTTTTGGCACTCATAAACAATCATAAAGCTCTCATGCTGCAGGAATGAGGAGGTCTGCTGAAGGCGCGCAGCTGTCGAGCAGTAAAGGGTTTGTGTCTTTAATAAACTACGGCAGTTTGCCTTCATTAAACAGTAAGAATGATTAATAAATCAATATGAAGCAGCCCCTTAAAAGTCATGTCTCGCTTTCAGTTTCGGGCTTTGGCGCGTTTTGCACTAACACACAAGCGTACCGTGCCAAAGCCCAAGTGAACCGCGCTCAGGCACACCTCTTCCAACCGGGCCAGGGCCGGCCAAGTGAACCGTGCTTGAGCCCGATTCAGCACACTCACACTTCTCAAACGATCCGGGAAATGGGCCTGGGCACGGTACGGATGGCATAGTGTGAGTAGGCCCTTACACTGTGGCCATGTTCATCTATGTAAACACACGAAAACAACATTAACATTATACCAGACACTGTAAAAAGGTCATTTCCAGCCTCTCTTCCCTTTAGTCCTACGCCTTCAAGCTAAAGAGAGTTAAGACAACCTTACCACTTCACGGGAACACACAAAACAAAGAGAAGGGGTAAGGGGAAGAGCTAAGGGGTAGAATTGGGATTGGGCCTAAATCATGTGACTTGATTGAGTCACTGAGTGGACTGCAGTAAATTAAGGTTTTTGAATTGTTTCACTGAAAATACTTGACTTAAATGATTCACAAATATGATATTGCAACCACAGATGATGCTTGCAATGCAGCTTACAAAATAGTCTTAATATACTTTTATTGTGCTTTTTGGTCATGATGTAACATGGAATCAATTCCTGATTAATTTTCTTTTTTTTTCCCAGAGGGAAGTATAAACCAATATTGTTACTGTTCCACATAACAAATGCAAATTGATCAAAAATGTATACAACAAAAATAATAAAATCACTTTTATGCTAACTATTCTTTAAGACTACACTCACTTCTGATGTTGAGGGTTGCTTCACTATGAAAAAACTTATCTCACCTTGCTGGTGTCCCAGGTTTGTGTGCGGATCTGTGTGGCCATCATCTCATATGTTTGCTCGGTGTTCTCCACTTTTGGTTTGGGAAAACCTGGAACCACATTATGAAGCTGGAACCCAAAAAGCTGCAGCCA